ATAATTTGCTTAACATGGAATGAAAAATGCTGCTGCCCCGAGCGCTGACGTCCCGCTCCTGACGCCAGTTGGGTTCATTGCCACCCGGAGCACTGAGTGTGCAGCACAGGGGCAGAGGGACTGCCGAGATGGGACTGCAAGCAGAGAAACTGATTTTTGTTCTAATAATCCCAGTGGATCCTGAGATCTAGGAAAGATGCCAGTTATTCTGATGCTGTGAGTATTTAGCAATTCTGCCTAAGCATCGAATTCAGAATTCGGAGAATTTCTATTTTTATTCATTCTTTTATTCTTTGAGTCTTCATATCAGGCCTGCTGGGAGTCTTGAGCCAAAACTATATGTAGTGTTACCCACTTAGCATGTAGCTGATTGTAATTTGTTTACTTCAGTGTAAGTACAGAGGGCCTGATCTGGACTGGGGTCACCATGCATATGGTTGAGGGGGTGGGGGGTTAAACCTTCCCATCCAGCCCTCACACCCTGAATTCTTCCCCCACAAATGCACAGGACTGAGAAATGGAAAGGATCCTCTTTGGTACTAATGGAGGGTTATCTTTTGCCCAGCCTCTCTGCAAAGGGGTGGCGAATTGGGAGGGGGAATAAAATGGGTGGGAAGGGTTAACACCCCCATGTGCTAAGTTCTTGGGGTGGGTTCGGCAGCCAGCCTGCTTACAATGAAGGAAAAGGGTTAGAATGAACAAACCACCCCCCAGGACCTCAAAATAGCTAGGACCCCTTTCTTTCCCACCAACTGCTCATTGTTTGGTGTTTTTCCCTATGCATATCGGAGCCTAACAGACACCTGGGAAATATCCAGTCATTGGGAGAAATTCTCCTGGTGTTAAAAGTGTTTCTCTGTAAGTTTTTGGTGAAATAAGAACCCTTCTTCAAGTATATGAATGAAGTCAAGCCATGAGAACTAAATGACTGGCAGATAATGACTTCTAAATAATATTGTGGCTGCAGTGAAATAACAAGTGGGAATTTATGGAAGATGCCGTGATTAAATATTTTGTGCTGACATGATGTGTCTCCGGTAGTATATGATTTAGGCGGAAAGCAATAAGAAAGGAGCCACCTTCAGGGTTTGCTTAGGCTTTTAAATTAAACTAATTTAATCAACTTCCACAGTCAAGCTTGATTTTGGTTTATTTCTGTACACTGTACTGTAATCAGAGCTTTTTGGGGTGCATTTTCCCTCCCACTTCCTCTTGGGTTTTAAATAAAATGTAGATGTTGCATTTTGGTTTTTTAAAAAGATATTTGGAGAGCGATGTAAAAATTGGTTGTTTATTTTATCCATGAGGCTCTTGTTTTTTTATTAAACTGAATTCACTGAGGAAGTTAAACAAAGGCAGCCTTGCCAGGGCAATTTTTAAAAATGACTTTATTGGAAATAGAAAGGGCATTGGGGTCTGGATGAGGCAAATCTCCATGGATTCTAAAGGTGAGGTGCCAACACTTAAAAGACCCTATCCAATCAGTACCCAGAGGAAGTATTTATCTGTCCCCCTACCTATTAACTTTTTATACAGCTGAAACTCTGCAACATGACCTAAAAAGGCTTGCAAACCTCCTTCAGCCCAAGGACTGATTTTGGAGAAGAGTTGAGGTCCAAAGCCAAAAGGGGTGGAATCAAACTTTCTAAAAACCTACCAAAAATAGCAAATACCCACATAAAGCTCTTTCTGCCAGTAAATAGGATTAGGAGAGGGCATTTCAATCTCATAGAATGGGGGATAAAAACTGCACAGAACTGGAGAAACCACAGCAAAATCTGTGGTTGGAGGTAGAACCAGAGGAAAAGGCTGTGCTCAACCGGAGACCTTTGATGGTGGGATTTGCCCTGTGCTTCCGCTGTGGACTCACTTACTCAGGAGTAACCCCATTGAAAGCTATGGGACCTCCTTCCCAGTAGAAGTACATCCCATTGCTCTCTGAAGGCGCAGGACTAGGAGTCTCCCATCCACAGAATGAATGCTCATTCATTCTGAAACGACTTCCCCGTGGCAGGATGCAGATGGACAGTGTCTGTAGTAAAGTAAAGCGGGAGCGATTTATGGGGCACTGAGAATGAATAATGGTTACACGGGGATGCAGTGAAACCTTTCTAATGAAATGACCGCCGTGCTCTGTTTATGAAGACAATATCTAGCGCCCACACTACCTTTATTATGGCTGGGAAATTATGTTGGCGAGGAAATGAAGCCGGCGAGCAGAGGTGTTAACGAGGTGGATTTATGATGGCATCTCAATGCATGTGCGACTCGGCGCAACTGGCATGTTACCAACTCAGTGAGGAAAGGCTGGGCGCACCTAGGCAAAACCCAGGCAGCCTCGGTCAGCTTGGTGCCTTCTGCAATTCCCATCACCCCTCCATTGGCCATGCTGGCTGCTGGTGATGGGAGCTGTAGTCCACACAGAGAGCGCCAATTTGGAGAATGCTGAAATAAGATGGGCTAGGGAACTTCTTGGTTTTGCGTTCTTTTGCGGGGCAACTTGTCAGTGGGCAGGGCCAGTCGGTCGTGGGCACCGTGATCCTAGTGTTACATCTTGAGTGCAGGCACTTAATTAAGATGCATCTAAACATTCAAGCTGGAGCGTTGATCCGTGTCCCTTTGCCGCGCATCTTGTGGCTTTCTATTTGTTTTATAAACTACCTAGAAAGCTTTGCTAATGACCAGTATAGAAATGTCTTCCGTCGCCACTGGAAGCACTGGGGTCTTCCTTAAGCCGAATGGGTTCCAGCTGCCCAAAATACGTTGCATTGCAACAACGATCAAGATATAATTGCCGAGAAAATTCATTTCCTCCCAGCTACTTTGAGAATTACAGCTAAATTCACAGGGGATTGACAAGCCAGTGGGGTGGTGAAGGTCAGATAATGTCAGCATCACTGCTAATTAAAAAGTTTTGGTATTGCCTCCCGATGAGCCCCAGTTCCACTGCACCACTGGGAACATCCCCTGTTCTGTCTCCCCCGTCCCCCGCTCCCCTTTTCATCGCAGCCCACTGAGCTTCCAAGGAGGGGATATGGCCTGAACTGATTTCTTTCACAGATTTGCCTGAAACTATTTAGGCATAGTTCATCCCACTGATGGCTGCCTAGGGCTTGTTTTAGGAATAGCTTTGCTACAGCCTCCTGGAAGAGGCAGGGCAGGAAAGCTTCCGTGCTGCTGGCGTGGCCAGGTGCCCTCCTTTACGGGGAAGAATCCTCTGTTTGTAGCACTGTCCTGTCCCAGCCAGTCCTAAAACAAAACGCCCTAAGACTCAACCTGTCCTATCAGCAGTTGCCAACCAGGTAGCAGGCTAAATAGCAACCACACCTGTCGTCTGCTGCAGGTGGGCCCTGCCGTGGTCAAAAATCCCAGGAAAACCCTTTGTAGACCTGACTTCCTAGAGGCCAGGCCTCCATAGCAAGCGAGCCTTTGATGTACCTCCTACAATTTCGGGGAGTGTTTGCTCTGCACCGTTTAAGGGTGTTTTCCTAATGATTGTGCAGCTGCCCTGCTTCCTTCATGGAATTTTACGGAGCTCAGTGCTGGCTGGGAATGGAGCTGCAGGCCAGTATCTCTGGAGGCTGGGGAAGGCCAGGTTGGATTCGCATGTTGGCCGGGATTCATATGCAGCTCAGGGCGGCCATGAGCCAGTCTCTGCTGCGACTCTCAGCCCAGAAGAGAAGCTTGAGCAGAGCAGAAGACCTGAGAAGACCACCTGAAGCATCCTGGAGGAAAGCAGACATAATTGTATGAAATGCATAATCAGCTGGAGGCATGTGCCCCCCAAGCTTCAGGAACGCTTCTGGGAAGCTTGCCTGGCAGGCATCTATTGGAAGGCTTGGTTCGGGACACCAGGTCACCCACCTCAGGTTACAAGAGTCCTAAATGAGCGGGGAGAGGTGCCTATTCCAGAGACCAGGAGTTATGTAAACACCGTGAGGATTCAGGATTTAGACCAGCCCTGTCTCTCTCAGCTTTGCTTTGCAGGGCTGAAATGCGGGGTTGTCTCTGCTTGGAGCAAAAGGGCTGCTTGTGTCTGGACCAGTTTCCCAGTTCTCCCAGCAAACCCCCAATAGCAGTCTCCCATTTGAAAACCAGCTGGGCTGCAACTTAGCTGAGGAGCTAATTTGTACTGATTGCTTTGGGGCCTCGGTGTCTAATCAGGCCTCAGTCTGCAGATGATGCGATCTATTGATTCTCTTTGTTGGTTACATTCACAGCTTTTGTCGGGTGCAGTTTTCTTGATGGATTTGCTGGTAGTTACTAATGTCAGAGCTTGGATGGTGGCTGTAAATCTTGTCTGCTTGCCTCTGGGTTGTTGTTCAGGGGTTTTAAAGATCTTTTTATGCAGGCAGCTTTGAAGAGACTTTTGGAGTATATGCATTTGTCACCTTTCCACTGCCCCAGTCCACCATCGCAATTTTTAATATTTTAACAGCTTTGCACAGATCACCTTTTCCTCATCTCCTTCGGGGCAGAAGCTAAGTCTATAAAACTCAAAATCTTCTGTTTATATCAGGGTGGACTCCTGTGGTTTTTTTCTGCCCTTTTTTGGGAAGCCTCGTTAAAAGGAGGCTGATACGTAAGTGGCAGGGCTGGAATTCTTCAGCCTATCAGCTCCTTTCCCAGAGCTTCTAGAGCCAGGATGGGGGATGTGCGGTCCTCTAGATAAAGTTGGATTGCAGTTCCCATCAGCAGCATGTTCATCTCCACCGGTTGGTAGGGAACACAACACAGGATGGCCCCTTGGTCTGATCCTGTAAGTCTCGTCTTACATTCTTCAACCTCAACCTCAGTATTGACGAGAGTGGAAGATAGACCAGGATTCCTCATTCTAAAGCTCTCCAGACATTGTGTACTCCAGTTCCTAGCATCCTCCAGCAGCGTGACCAGTGCCCAGGCGGATACATCCGACCTCTGATATAACATACTGGCTTTTGTTTGTGCTCTCAAGCAACTCATGTCTTCCCCTTGTGTCCCCTTGTGTGCTTGTTTTTCAGCAATCCAAGAGAAATACACAGACTGGACAGAGTTTCTCATCCATGACTTGACCGGCTCACGGACAGCACCTGCGAATTTACTGGAAGGCGTATGTATTGAGTTAATACTACTTCTTGAGTTCTGCTTGTGTTTATGGCGGAAGATTTTTTTTTTTATGCCAAGTTCCACAGGTTGCCTGTACAAAAAACTGCAGCAACCCCCCCCCCCCCGGCCTAAGGGAGAAAATTATTCTAATTATTATTAGAAGTAATAATTGAAAACTGGCCCAGTTGAGAATGCCATCCCCATCCTAAGAAATGTTCCTAAGAGGAGAGGAAAGGAATGGGTATGGGTTTCCTAATTCGGGGCTGGTGCATTTGTTTTCTTGGGGGGGAGCAAGCTCCAGATTTTGGGGGGCCCTTGGGCAAGGCCCCTCGATGGGCATCCACCCTACGTAAGCCCTGACAGCCATGACCACCAGTAGATTTTGCTTCTCTTTCTTGGCTCATGGAGGGCAATCAGTGCCATCGTTTTCAGCCTCTTGTCTTGGGGAGACCTGAAGAGAAACATTCAGGCGACTTTCTGTCTCGCAGCACAAGACTCTGCAAGCCGGGGCATGGCACCCCCAGCCCAGGGTCCGAACCCAGCCAGCCCCCTCGGGTGTTCCTTAGATAGCCACATCCCCAGGTGGTCCTGGCCCAGCCTCTCCCAGCTTTTGTGCATTTCCCCCCTGTTGAAAAGATCTGAAATGCCTCTCCTCGGGGTTAATTTCTGGCAGCAAGGGCTGTGAGCCAAAATTGGCTGGTCCTTTGGTAAATTTGGCCCCGCACCTTTGTCTGAGGCTGCCCCCAGCCCTGGGATGCCCATCACAAGGCCTCTCTGATAAGGCACCCGACTCTCAGGCTGCAAGGTGACGCTGCTTATGACGTCAGCCCCATGCCACCTCTAAGGACTTTTCTGGCTAGTGACTCCCGACACCTTTCAACCTCTTGCAATGAACTCAAGGCTGCCTTCAGGGTTCTCTCTCTGTTTTATCCTCACGACAACAACCCTGTGGGGTAGGTTAGGCCAAGAGTGAGTCTCACGGTTGAGTGAGGATGAGAACCTGGATCTGCTGAGTCCCAATCCTTCTAACCACTACACCACACTACCTCTCTGAGCCATATACTCTATTGCTGCTCATTTAAGCACACCAGACAACCTGGATGGAGGAAACTATCATGTGGTTCCTGGACATTATCTAAGGGATCATAGGATAGTTTGGATTCCCAGCTTTGAGGATGAAGTTTGAACTCTGACACTGGAGCAGGGAATCTAACCTTCTTTTCCCACCCCCTCCCTTCCCACACTGGCTGCTCTCCAAGGTTGGGGAAACCACCTTGGAATGCAGGTGTAGGGCATCTGGGACACCTGGAAGGAGAGAGATGGCAATTCCAGGAAGACCAGCCCAACGCTCCTACCGTCAGCCTGTTCCCCCTGCAAAGCATCCCTGTTAGGCAACCAAAAATGTGCATCTACTAAAGTTCAAGGAGGAGAGGCGAGGGGGTAGAAAAGACCACTCCGCCCCTCTCATTTGGGTGCAGATGTCCTCTGAGTTTGGAGGCTTGCAGGCCTCGCAATCGCACTGTGCCCAAAAAGTCTTTGCAGATTTTTTACTAACTCGCACTAAACAATCCTCCATATGGCCCTGGACGTATTTTGAACGGTTATCTAAGCTTGTCCCTGACTTGCTGAAGAAAGGATCATAGGATTGTTTAATCAATAAGCAAGAGCGAGGTCCAGAAATACCATTCCCTGACACTTGGTTGCTACTGACACATATTTGTTAGGGCTGTTCTTATCCTTTTCTTGAATTTTCATCACTGCTTATCGATTTAGCAATGTGCCTGTCTGGGCTCTAGCATTCCTTTGGAGGGTCCTCGTGCTCAGAAAATTCATGCTCCAGGCAGATCCTATTATTAACAGCGGCTGCCTTGCTCTCCTTAAGGGTGCCAATGCTGTTTCTCATGGCTGAGCATCTTAACATAGATCTGTGCCTTAAGGAGCATCCAGGAGTTACTCAAGGAGGATCAGGTGTATCTTTGTATGCCTGTTTATGAACTCAGCCAGCTGTTTTTAGTGCCACTTGGGGGAGCCCATTTGGGGCCATGGAAAGAATCACAGAATCGTAGAACAGTGGCGTTGGCGGGGACCAAGGAGGCCATTGGGTCCAACCTCTGTTCAGTACAGACTCCAGTTCAACCCAGCCCCCTGGGATGGCTGTCCAGCTGCATCTTGAAGGCCTCCAGTGGGGGAGGGCCCTTGGCCTCCCAACGTCACGGGTTAACTGTTGTATTGCTCCTACAGTCAGGAAGTTCTTCCTGATCTGAAGCAAGAATCGGTCCCACTATTAAGGAGCATGAGAAAGCCCATCTTGGGTGGGATATTTTGGGGTACCATGAAAGAACTGCAAACATACTTCATCATCCAGCACCCTTCCCACCACGGAGGGTCCATATGATACCACCAAAGGGGCCGGATTCAGCACTGGGGCCACCAGTTGCTGATCAGTTGTGTTGAGATGGGCCTCCAATGCACAGATTGGCTGCCTTTTCAAAAAGTTGGACATGGGGGAGAAGTCCTTTTCTCCAAAAATAGAGCTAGTGATTTTTTAAAAAAGCAACAGCAACATAAAAATTTAGCGATGCGCTTATTCTTTTCATCTGGCTAAGCTTGAGTGCTGCAAAGTTTTCTCATGTTTAAACTTAAACAGTGGAGCAAAAAGATGAACAGTAGCAGTTGTTTATGCTTTTGTATGGGATTCTTGGGAGTGAAGTTAATAGTACTTTACCGGTATTTAAAACCAGTCCAGTTAAGGATGCAGTCCTACATGGATGCTCATAACTCTCTGAACCCAGAGGATTGTGGATGCCCCACACAGGACAGAAGGAGTGTGAAGGTGAAGGTCACATCTGCACTTCTCTCCCTGAGCAAAGCAGTTGGCACTTCAGAGCAGGAGGGGACGATGCTTTAGCACAATGCATGCTGGGAGTTGTAGGACTTTTTCTGTGTCAGCCTGCATATGCTAGCACGCTAAATGCGTATGGGGTGCATTCTACTTGCTTTTAACACCTGTGAAAATTTCTTGCTAGCCCTGAACATGAAATGTCCTGCCATCATGTGTATCTTTAATGGAATGAAAAGATATCTTTGAAACTTTTGCGACTTTAGAAAATTCTGAATGCAAGACTTGGATAATTTTGCAGTTCTATTTCAAGAACAGTTATAATGGTCTCACAAGCACCAGCAGCCCAGGTCATAATTGGAAATGATTTCCTGTATTCTTCAAATGTTCATTTGATAGTTCCTCAAGTGATGGGAATTAATTCAAAAATCAAAGCCCGGGATCTGAGTGTCTATACCTAAAAGTCAATTTACAAACTCTACACCCCCTCTGACACCTTTCTGGTTACCCACCAGGTTCCCCAACCCTCCTGATTTTATTCCCTCTAAAATTTTGCTAAAACTTGTTTTTAATTAGAAGGGTGCAATGTTGCAAAGCAAAGTTCTCCTTTCCAGCACCGTCTGGATTTGGGTTCCTGGCAGCCCTTTGATGAAAGGACACCCCCCTGGCAGCCATTTTGTGAAATCACCGACACTCTCTCAAAATTCCAAATGTACCAACTCAAAGGTTTGGTGACCCCTGCCCTTTCCCCAGTTCCCTGTGCCTAGGAGCTTTTGAATAAGTATATTCCTGTCAATCTGAAACACAAGACCCATTTTTCCACTGAATTATTGCTGAGAAATTAAGCATAGTTGTTTTCTCTTCCTGTTTTTCTTTTGCTCTTGTGCTTGGAATGCATGTCTGGGTTAAAATTAGGAGGAAGGAGAGACTGGGATAAAGTTGAAGACAATTATCAACCGCAACAACAAAATCGTATAATCTGTGTCTGTTGCCGTGCGAAGACTTCAAATAAAGTTTAAAATACGGAGTTTTGCTTCTATTCAAACAGCCTCTGCGAGGAAAAAACCCCATAGACCTCATTACAGTTGATTCCTTAATAGAGCTGCAGGATTCCCAGAATCCCTTTCAGTACTGGATAGTTAGTGTTCTTGAAAATGTTGGAGGAAGATTACGTCTTCGCTTTGTGGGATTGGAGGAGACTGAATCCTATGACCAGTGGTTGTTTTACTTGGATTACAGACTTCGGCCAGTTGGTTGGTGTCAAGAGAATAAATACAGACTGGATCCACCAGCAGGTAAGCAAGAGAGTGTGGAAGAAAGAAAGTGAGCTTCCAAAACTGATCGTGTTTTCTTGCCTGCCTGCAAGTTACATGGGCTATACTTCTCGTGGGATTCTGCTTTGCTCGAATTTCTCTTTGTTTGCCAGAGTCTCTTTGATTCTCTTTGACGTCTGGACTGGAGACTAAAGTGGGCAAATTGCAGCGTGATTTGGCCCATAATTGTCTAGCCATTGGCTCTTCTGGCTAAAGCTGATGGGAGCTGATTGATTAACTGGTGCGATCAATTTAAGGGTTCCATCCTAAGCATGTTTAGAGGTGAGAAAGTTTTACAGTTCCTTGCAAAAGTCCTTGTTGTCTTAAGGATGCAGAGTTGGAGGCTTTTTCCATCTAAATACCTCCCTTAAAGCACTTTGTGCAGTTGGTTAAAAAACGAGGATCCATTTCAAGCTGTTTTGAAAACAATTTCATGGAAGATGGTTTCTTTTCTTAGAAGTTGCCTTGTTCTACTTGCTTCGTATCTTCTTTGAGAAGGGAGAATTTCCAGGGAATTGGAATTTGGTTTGCTCTGGGAAGAAATCACTTTTATCGTATGGTGTTGTATTTGTGTTTATTTACCTCTGTTTGTTTATTTTATTACCATACCGTCCAACAGGTGAAGTTCTCAGGACAGTTCACAAAGCACATTCAAAAATAAAATAAAATAATAATAAAAACATTTTAAAACATCATTAAAAGTTTACAATGCAAAGGTGGAAAGAAATGTGAACATTGGCCATAACGTCTGATGGTTTTTCTTATTTAGAACATTCCAGAGTCATTTTGCATCATGATGTAACAATCAGGTGTCATGAATAACCCAAGTTTTAACATTCCTTTGTCCAGACTGTGACTAATATACTGTGTTACTTTGATTCACAGAAATCTGTAGGAAATGTTATATTGGGGAGGGTAAAAAAATGCCTAGGTGAAATTCATACAAACTGTTCTTCAAACAAAAAGATAGGAATTCTCTGCAAACCTACTTAGGAAAACTCCCCAGAGGATTGATGGGTGTTAATTTTGCATAAACCTGCACAGTGTCATGCAAAATATCCCATGCCTAAGATTAGCTACACATATTGCTAAAAACAAGGCCAGGCTGGCATTGCATAGCCTGTGACATCTCACCTCAGGCAACATATTATGAGATGCTGTCAAACGGTAGCCAAAATATCAAGACTCACTCCCAAAGGGCCCTAAAACTTGCCGTTTTCTGACAGCCCTAAATATTCTTGAGTGCTTTTGCAGAGCGACAAGTTTTCCAGTAAGTTTTCAGATTTACTTGGTAGTGAAAGTGGCTGACAGTTCGTACCAGAGACGTGTGTGCAAAAGGAACATTTCTGATGGTTGTTGGTTTTGCACGCTTTTCTGATTCATCCAGTCCAGGTAGTCTGTGTGCAGAAAGAGGTTCCAACTCATGTGTCTGCATTATACCAGTCATACTATACACTTGTAAGCAGCTGGTTGCACAGACTGAATCAGAATCGCCTCTAGGTGACCAAGCTTACATAAAGGGACAGAGTTGATGGCCAGGTTTTTTTTTCCTCATTTTTTTAAGTTAATTGGTAATGCCATAAATGACTTCAGAGGTGTGTATGAGCAGAGACACTTGTATATCTGCAAGACCTTCAGGGAATTACTGGTCTCTTTCTGGGTGCGGTGCAAGGTGTTGGCTTTAACTTCGAAAACCCCAAACTGCTAAGCACCTGGGTATCTGCGTCTGCCCAAGTCACTGTGAACCTGCCCAATGATTAAGACCTGCAGGAGAACTGGGACTCCATCACCCCAAAATGCCCATTTGTTGGGCACGCCTGGGCCAGCTTTCTCCTTGTTGCCCCGGAAGTATGGAGAACCTTAAGAACCTCTGGGCACCTGTTCACCTTGCTTTCACCAAGGGTATAAAGACACATCTTTAACATTTAGCTTTTTCAGTCATGCAGCTGTCTTAATGTTTTACGAGTATGATGGGCTTTGTTTATTATTAGTAGGATTCATTATTATACTACATTTCTATACTGCCCGTAGCCAAAGTTTTCTGGGCAGTGCACAACATTTAAGTCACCCATCCAGATTCCAACCAAGCCCAACCTTGCTTAGCTTCCAAGATAAGGCATGATCAGGCACTTTACGGAAGCTATTTATTGCTAAGGCTTGATTCTTTAAATTGTTGCTCCTTGCCTTGTTGGCTTTTAAGCAAGCCAGGCAGTATATAAATGCCAAAAATAAAGCAAACAAATAAATATTGGTTTCAAGTTGTATTTTATTTACATTGTTCTACTGGGTGTTTTATGTTATCAACTGCTTTGATAATTAAGGGTTTAAGCAGTACTTATTTTAGTAAATTTATGGGTGTCTGTAGCTCTCAGTCATTTTATGGGCTTCCTTTATAGGTTTAATGCCTTAAGCACATGTAGCAGTGCCCAATTTTGATACTTGGGTAGTGTCCAAGTCCCGAAATGTCTTGCTGGGCTTGGGGTGAAACCCAGTGTAAAAGCTTGACATTCATCTAAGATGAAGACCTTCACTTCATCCTTGCTTCCTCAGGGATGAAAAGACATTAGTTGGGTGATGTGTTTGATATTTGGGCATCTTTTTGGAGCCAGCCCAAATATGAAATGCTTAATCCAGGTAACTTTCCCTCACCCCGGTCAGTCGGCAATCCTTAATGCTCTGGGCTGAATTTTACGTTTTTACAAAACCGCATACCCTGGAAAACCCTCTCTCTCCCCTGAGGCTTTCCTCAGATCTGCAGAGAAGCAGGAAGGTTATTTCTAACATCCCCAACCAGATGCCCTCCAGAAGCTTTGGATTTCAACTCACAACAGTCTCAGTTAGCAGGGCCAGGGGTCAGGGGGGCATCTGATTGGGGTTGTGACTGGCTTTGACCAGCAGGTTTGATTGCTAGGCAGCTAATTGTGTCTCCCACGTTACCTTAAATGAAAGCACTTGGAAACCTTACCTGCAACACCCTTTCCCAGCAGGGAGCATGATCTCTCTGTATTGCAATGTTTTGTCCCTAAAGCCAACAGCATGCCTGAAGAGCTGCATCTTCATGAATGCCTGCTCTGTAGAGCTTTCTTGGTTAAAGAAGCCCTTAGACTGGTGTCTGTCACTGTGGCTTATTCGTGGAAAGCCTCAGGGCTCCACGCCACACTGAAAGCTGCTCCCCCCAGCACTGGACAAGTCCCTGGCTTCACACGGGATATGCCCAACGGACCTGGCTAACACACCCCCCCCCCCCCCGCCCTTGGGAATGGTGTGGGGCAGCTGAAACACCCCATGCAACATTCTGGCGGGCACACCAGTGAGTCCTTTAAAAATCCCAGTAGCTGCTTCCGGGAAACCTTGGGTGCTTAATTAGGAAGCGTATGCATGGACAATTACACGCTTCTTCTTGAAAGATTAATGTCTGCCTTTAAGTGCATCAGTGCACATACACATGTTTGTTTGGCAACAACTGGGAATGATAGAGTGAGCGTATAAAACCAGCCTCTTTAAATGAGCAGCATTCTGATTCCTCACTTCATAACATGTTAAATCTGCCGCAATCGGTGCATAAAATTGCCTTCCAGCTTTACCATAGAAGCAATCACAGGGTTCCCACATCCCGCGCCACCTCTTCTTTACCCTCCCAGAAATTCAGCACAACAGCAATAATTCTACCTCTAACATTGTATTAAGTGGCCGTAAATCTGCCACTGTATTAACATTCCTGCACCTGCAACCTTCATAAGTAAGAAATCTCAGATTTTCCATTTGCTGTTCTGTGTGAAGCAACAGGTTTATTGGTTTGTTCAAGAGTGGCGTGGTGCGTGAATCCCTAGCAACAAGCTGCATCATGTATCTTAGCTGTGGAAGAGAGGTTTTCCTCTGCTGAGGCCCCTGGAGTATGTGAGCTGTATGGGGTTTCACTGGCAGATTTGGGTCTATGTCTAGATGGGCTGATTGGATTTCTGTGCAATCATTCTAGGCACATGCATTCATCACATAAAATAAAAACCTGACTCTGATTTTCATGATCTGTGTAGTTCTTCTGCCGCCCCTTGTGCGTCTTTTCTGCTCTCGCATCTCGTTCTCACATTTGCATTTGTGCAGTGCAAGCAACGCTTTAAGAGTTAAACACTAAATGCATTGATGTAGCCTGAAGTGTCTGATCTTGCCTAATCTTGGAAGCTAAGCAGGGTCAGGCCTGGGCAGAAGTGGGATGGGTGACCTGAGTGTATGATTCTATGATTATTGCTGTCAACTGCCTAGAGAGCTTTGGCTATGGGCAGTATAATAATGTAATAGTAATAATAATAATAATAATTGTTAGCTGTATTAAAAATCTAGGGGCAGGTCCTATCAGTTTCTCATTTTCCTTCTAGAATTTTTTGTTTGCAGTCTTAAGCTTAGTTCTTCCCAAACGTTGCGTTTTTTGTTTGTTTGTTTGTTTGTTTTGGTAAACTTGCATGCCAATTTGTAAATATTTTGTATGCATTTCTCCTAATATCTGCACATTTTTACAAGCAATTTTCCTAACATAATAGGTTTTGAATGTTCTGCGTACATTTTTGACTGGAGTTCACTAAAATTTGGAGTCATGAAAATTCTGAAGGATAACTAAGTGTCGGTTCACAGAAGGGTTCGAAACTGCAGGTCAGAGAGTATTTCCGAAAGAACAAAAAGTTAGAAGTAGAAGTGAAGAAGAAGAAAGAAATGAAGGAATAAATATTATATAGCCATGGTCCCGCTGGAGGGGTGGACTGGCTCTTTTTCTATATAGGGGATTTTATATCTTGTGTTGTTTTTATGATGTATTTTATATCAGTATTGTAATGTAGGTCTTATTCATAAAATTTAATTAAAATACTGCAGGTCAATTTGCATTAAAAGTAAAGGCTCCCTAGGTAAATCCCCCCCGTTTTCATCAGCACTGCGGCACTGGGGAAGTGGAAGTTTAACCATTTGCTCCTTACCCATGATGCCAACAAGAATCGCCACATGCACTGCTATTACTCTTGGTGGGAGGGGCTCCTGTTGTCCAGGCAGGTTGTCCAAATTGTTCTAGCCAGTCCGGAAGCCTTTGTTTTTCCAAGGCGAAGGAAGTTCAAGACCAGCACAGGTTGGGCAGAGTTGCTGCAGATCTTAGGGCAAGTATCCACTTGCAAATTGTCTAAAAAGAAAGAAGAAATGCATCACCAAATAGGAGGACACAGGAAGAGCCAAGGTTATTCCCCTGTCCTGCATATGCTAATATATGTATAGATGCATATTATTATTATTATTATTATTATTATTATTATTATTATTATTATTATTACATTTCTATGCCGCCCCTTGCCGAAGCCTCAGGGCGGCTTACAACACAGTAATATTGGAACACAATTATTATAATTTAAATAGGGATGCAGTATATCTCACCATAGTGTGGAAACCCTTTCCAGAGGAGGACATCTTCAAAAAGAGGATCACCCTCTGTAAAAGAGGAGAAACGGCCACCCCATTTTCAGCACACCTGTTCCTGGCCGGGCAGTTTCCACAGCTAGTTCCATCATCTTCATAAGAAAGCTTTGACTGCCACGAAGAGGAGGGTCAGGACCTCTTCTCGATCACCCCAGAGTGCAGGACACGGAATAACAGCCACAGGTTCCAGGGAGCCAGGTTCCTGCTAGACATCAGGCAAAAATTCCTGCCTGCTAGAGCAGTGTGACTGTGGAATCCATGACCTGGGGAGGTGGTGGGCTCTCCCACACCGGAGGCCTTCAACTGGGCAACCCTCTGAGAGGGGTGGCTTAGCTGGGAGTCCTGCACTGAGCAGGGGGCTGCACCTGCTGGCCTTCTGGCCCCTTCCAGCTCTACTCTTCTGTGATAGTCCTGGGAGGTCCCGCTTGATGCTGGGCTGTAGTGGCTACTTTAGGGATGCTTTTCCCATCCCTCACAGAACTACAATTCGCAGCCTTTGTTTTAGGAGATGAGGGGGGCATTAAACTGGCCAAGAGACCTGCTGTTCACCTGCTTTCTTGGGAGGATGGGGCCGGGGCTGGGCCATTTCAAATACAGGGTCCAATTACAAGCAATGGGCAAAGAGGGGTTCAAGTTGCAAGCAAGTGGCCGTGCAGACTTCCTTCAAGGAGCTGAAAAGGCAAAGGGCATTAAAGGACAAGGCTCTTGAGCTTCATTAACAGTGAAATTCGAGTGGGTTCTAGGAGACCTGCCACCCATCAGCACTAAGATGGCAAGCAAAAGGAAGCGCAGGGGCAGTTGGCCGCTCAGCGGGGCAGTGGGGAGCCCCAGAGGCAGAGAGCAGCGTGGTTGCCCAGCCGCAGAGACGCACTGTGCTGACATTGGAGAGGACAGCGATTGCATGGCCGCAAGAGAGGGACCGGCATGGACCCGAACGTGTGTGGGACCCAGGAGAGCAGAGTGTTCCCGGTCATGTGAAAGAGATCCGTTCTTTCGAGTGCATGGATCAGGAATGAGCGTGCTGGAATCTGCCGGGCTGGTGGCTGGGAGATGAGACCTCTCTAGGACAATGTGGGGGTGGTCGGGAGGAGAGCCCCCCCACAAAGGCTTCTAGCATCGCTACCAGTCTGGGAAAGACCACCCATGTGTCTTGGCCGTGGTGTTTCCAGCCAAAGTCACTCCTGCAGCCAAAGTAGTGCAGATCTCTGTTTTAGACCAAAAACAAATCCTACAGTTCCCAGGATTCCACAGCAAGACTGCTCAGAATTGTGGGACTTTTTCTCCCTAAACGGGAATCATTTTGCATCGCTCATTGGAAAGCTAATTCGTTCTTTTATGAAAGAGATCAGAGCCGGTGGGAAATGTGCGGACCTCCAGTTGTTTTGGGGCTGCCAATCCCGTCAGCTTTTCCCATTGACCATCCTGGCTGGGACTCATGGGAGTTACAGCCCATCAACATCTGAAGAGACCCACTCCCCCCCTCCAGCCCTAGAAGGAAATGCTTTATCCTGATATCAGTTTTTTCAGGCTTATTGCAAAGCCTACAACTCCCATCAGCCTTAGCCAGCACAGCTAATGGTGAGTGATGGTGGGTACAGTAGGCCCAAACTGCTGGGGAGCCCAAGTTGCTTAATCAAGATTTGGTGGCTTGTCTGCATTGAGTGGTGATGTTATCGACAGTCTAATTACTTTTGTTAAAGCGTTATGGGATGTATACCTCTTGCTTAAGCACGTGCGTGGTTTCTGATGTTGTAGAAATCTATCCTCTGAAGACCATGTCTGAATGGCAGGCCGCTCTGGATAAAGCTGTAATTGAAGCAGCAAAGTTTCCCCTCCCAATGGAAGTGTTTAAGGTAAAAGATTTATTTATTCCGTCTTTCAACTAAAAAGTCTGTCACGTTAAATAAGTGGCGTTTTAATATTGTGTTTATCTGTTTTGACTTGGAGCAAGGGGTGGGAATCAGGCTTCATGAAGACTAGGCGTTCCTTCTTGGATGCTCTTTGTACGGCTGCCATTTTGAATGCTTGGCAAGTCGGGTGTGTCTCATTGGTCGCATCGAAGTGAACTTTGCCTTTGCATTTAACCAAGTTAGAGTGGGGAATTTTCCTCGTTGCAGGTTTGGAGCCTAAATTATTACTGTCTGATTCTGAGAAAGCTAATAAGAACGTAAGACCCTGCTGAATCTGGCCAGTGTCCTCCCTAGCCCGTTCTGTTCATGAAGTGGCCATCCAGTCACTCATGAGAAACCCCCACGCAGGACATGAGCGCAACCACGCCCTCCCACCCGTGTTCCCCAGCAACTGATGCACATACTGCCTCTGATCCTGGAAGTAATGTATAGCTGCTATACCTAGTGGCTGTTGATAGATTTTGCAATGTATGGCTGTGAAAGCTGGACCATAAGGAAGGCTGAGCGCCAAAGGATTGAGGCCTTTGAATGGTGGTGCTGGAGGAGACTCTTGCGAGTCCCTTGGACTGCAAGGCGATCAAACTGGTCAGTCCTAGAGGAGATCAACCCTGACTGCTCTTTAGAAGGCCAGATCCTGAAGGTGAAACTCAAATACTTTGGCCACCTGATGAGACGGAAGGACTCCCTGGAGAAGAGCCTGATGCTGGGAACAATTGAGGGCAAAAGAAGGAGGGGACGGCAGAGGGTGAGGTGGCTGGATGGGGTCACTGGGGCGATGGGTGTGGGCTTGGGTGGACTCCGGGAGATGGTGGAGGACAGGAAGGCCGGGAGGAATGTTGTCCATGGGGTCGCGATGGGTCGGACGCGACTTCGCGACTAGCAACAACAATTGATAGATTTCTCCACCATGAATTTGTCTTTTAAAGCCACCCAAGTTGTTAGCCATTGCTACATCTTGTGCCAGCAAATTCCATAATTTTAACCACGGTTACATTGAAACATTGAGTGTTTATCCATATTTTTCTACATGCCACATTGAATGTACAAAGCTGCCTAAGAGCTGCCTAATTATTGTGAGCCGCCCCGAGGCTTCGGCGAATGGGGCGGCATAAAAATGTTTTAATAAATAAATAAATAAGAGCACATCTTCAGTGTTTGGGGCTGGTCCATCCACCCCATGTCCATTTATTCAGTTTGGCAACATCTCCAAACATTTAGGCCGAGGTTTTTGCCCCTTGAAATGCACTTTATACATGCAACAATTACGCTCCGCCGTTGAACTGTGACTGGTGGGCTCTTGCCATTATTTCTACATGGTGAATACTAGATTTGTCAGATACTTGGAGGGTTTAAGAACTGGTGTCAATCTTTTGCTCGAAATGCTAGGTTTTCTTTTGGTTTTGCTTTACGTTTTTGTTCTTTTGCACTTTAAAGGTTCTATGTAATTTGTCTGGGTGTGATATCTGTAGGCGCCCAAAAGGTGAACAAATGGAGCAGAATAAATACATATTCATGTGGAGTTAATATCATGGCTACATCTTCTCCAAATGAAGTCTTGTTTCTCATGATTTGCCTTTCCTTGTTTTGTCCTTGCCTAGAATTGAGTTTCCTGCTTTCCATGCTGTCAAAACAGTAAATTTTCTCATGTTGAGCCTTCTTGCTCGTGAATTCTGGCTCCCTGCAGTGAGGAAACATCACTATGGAAAACTCTGCAGGTTTAATAAAAGGAGAAGGTGATGAATTGCAAACAAGCTCAGAGTCTCTTTCAGATATTCTACAATTCAGCTTTTGCTAGAGGCTGAATGTTACTGCTTTCCTCTGAAGAGACAGTAGAATTACTATTATTGAAGTACTATTTATTCTTGCTTTTGCATTGGTCGGGGCTAGAAGCCACTCTTCTTCTTTGATTAAACCTGGCAGCTTGGAAGCAATCATTTCTCAGCTGGGCTTGAGCAAAGCTGCACAAATAGCACCTAATCCAAGGAACTTGGTAGAGCAAAGTGGTATTCTGCATTTGGAAGAGTGACCTATGTACAATTTGCTGTAGAGTCCTTGAAATTGCACAGAGGACTGAAAACCCCGCTTTCCTCAGAAAGCCTGACCAGGTTTCTAACTCTCATCGCTATGGGGGGGAAATGTAAAATTGGCAACCTGGTCTAAAGTGCCAGTGGCATTGTGAATAGTGATTTGTGTTATGCAACAAATGCTTGCTTTGTGGCAAGGCTCTCCATCTTCGATCCTCTCGAACAAGGATGTGGAACCTTGGACCGGGGTCCCACCCAGCCCTCCTGGAATCCCAGTTCAGTCCCGTGGGTTTTCCAGGCAGCCGCACCCTTTTCCTTCAGCCACTGCTTCTTTGGGAATTCATAGAAACATACAAGCTGAGCGAGTCAGAAGGGATCCCCCGGGCCATCTAGTCTGACCCCCGGCTCCAGCCGGCTCTGCTTACGACATGCCCACCATGTGCATGTCCAGCCTGTCCTTGGACACCCGCACCAATGGGGCCTCAACGACCTCTCGGGGAAGCCCATTCCACACCCTCGGGGTCCTGACTGTCAGGAAGTGCTTCCTGGCATCCAAATTGAACCTTGGCTCCATTGGAACGCGTCCTGCCTTCCTCTGCAGGGGAGAACAGGTCTCTACCCACCTCCGTGTGACATCCCCTCACATGCCTGCATGTCGCCCACAGATCCCCTCGGAGCCTCCGCTTCTCCAGTTCCCTCCGTCTCACCTCACATGGTTCCCCTGCAAACCTGCCAGGATCCTCGTGGTCCTGGCTTCCATGCAGCATTTTACCCCTGCTAAAATGACAAACCGCCTCTCCTAAGATATAGTTCCTGGCATTAAGCGGCAATAATGCTTTCGCTTCCTTCTTGGCCTTCCTCTTTTGTCCTGCACACCCCTGGAATACATCCCCCCCCCACACACACACACAGAGGGAGAGAGAGAGAGAGAAAATCTGTCAGTACAGACACAGTTCCTCCCACCCCTTTCTGGGCAAACAGAAGGGCAAATAGCCTTGTTCTCACAGCAAAAGCAGCCCTTCTCTGCAGAATAACTGGGAAACGGAGCTCCAGGTCAGTTCTCTTTGGGGTCTTTCAAACCAGCTGAAACTCTAACCCTTGGCTTCCCTTCCAGAAGCTATTCTGGTTCTGGGACATTCACAAGCTCCTGACACTGCCTGCTAAACCTTAATAACCACACCTTCCTTCTGGTAGAGCTCATCCAGTTCCTCATGTGAACGAGTAGCTGATCTTGTTTGAGGCTGGAGAAGAAAACAAGGGCTTGAAACCTGATCTCTTGTTTGGGGCAGGTGTTAAAAGGCCTTGAACTTGAGCATCTCTTGGACAAAAATGTCTCCCTACATGGGCGAAATTGGAATGTGGGCATCAGGGAAACAGAGAAGACCCCTGCTTCGTATGGTCACTTGAGCCCACAACTGGCAGTGGGTGGACTGGGAGACAAATATGCCCCATAGTTCTCGGATATGCCAAAGGATGGGGACTCGGCCATGACTTCCTTGCCTGTGTTTTGTAGGATCACGCTGACCTGAGGAACCATTTGCTCACAGTGGGAATGAAGTTGGAGGTGGTCGATACGGGAGACACATGTCGGATTTGTCCTGCCACGGTATCCAAGGTGAGAAATCCGAGGAGAAGACAGAGAGGGCTGGATTGTTGGTGCTGAGCTGCAACGGGGGATCCTCTGTGAGGTTCTTTTCAGCAAAGAGCTGGTGCAGCTCTTCCTGTGTTAGCTGAAAAGGAACAGAAAGTCATTTGGAGCTCTCATTCCTTCATCTGAGGTTGGAACGCTGCCTCCATCCTTGGATCTGAGAATCCAAGCTATCCTGGGCCCCCTAGAAAATGTGTAGGGGCATAGGCTTGCTCTGTAAGTTATTCCTGAAATGAGTCTGATGCTTGTTGTTAGTACTGTATAAGCAGTTATATTTGTGTCATAGGGTGTGCCCAGCATGGGCATTTGCTTAACCTAATTGCCAGGTTCCACATGTACAGGTCTGAGAAGCAGGTACATGTTTTCAGGCACTCCCAAACTTTACAGGGGCTTGTCAGCCTCATGTATCCTATTTAGGACCTGCGGGGAAGGAGGAGCGTTCTTTGCAGGGATTCTATGGATACCTGTGGTTTTCTGCATTAGCTGCACAAACTGCACATCATTAAAGAGGAAGGCGGCTGGAGCAATGCTTGCATGAAAGTGTTACACAACTGAGCCAAGTCCTGGCTCTCCAGTGAGGAAACGGCACCTCAGCTTTTCTAGATAAGGATTCTCCACTTGAGGCAGTGTTTTCTTTGCCAAAGGAAACATAGAAACAGAGGGAGTCAGAAGGGACCTCCTGGGCCATCTAGTCTGACCCCCGGCTCCGGCCTGCTCCACTCATGATGTGGCTACCATGTGCATGTCCAGCCTATCCTTGGACACCTGCACCGATGGGGCTTCAACCACCTCCCATGGAAGCCCATTCCATACCCTCGGGGTCCCAACTGTCAGGAAGTACCTCCTGGCACCCACCCTAAATCTTGCTTCCCTGAGCTTTGCTCTGTTGGAACGCATCCTTCCCTCCTCTGCAGGGGAAAAAAGGTCACGACCCACCTCTGCATGGCACCCCCTCACCTACCTGCATGTGGCTAACAGGTCCCCTCTGAGTCCTCTCCTCTCCAGGCTGAAAAGATCCAGCTCCCTCAGTCTCTCCTCGTATGGCTTACCTTAAGGAAGCAAGCACTGCCGCCAAGCCCACCTGGCTGGGGCTGCTGGGAGTTGGAGTCCAGCACGTCACGCCAAGCTGGAGGAGGCTCGTTGCAGCCTGGTGTGCCAGTGCAGAAACTCCTCCGAAGGACGTGTGCCGGAGGCAGTGCTCTGTACCGCACGGCTCTGGGACTCAGGCCAGGTGGGGGACAGTCACATGAGACGGTGATCTCTGAAGTCTTGCTCTACCTGTGTCTCAGACATAGGCCTCCTGTCTGTAAAAAGGTGTTTGGAGAGCAGAGAGCAGCAGGTCAGTTTCCAGGAAAAAAACTTGAGGCACAAATTTTCTGGGGAGAGGATGCGACACCCCTATGGGCCAAAAGCCAGCTCACCTGGGGAAATCAGGTGCAAAATCTGGGTCTCTGCTGTGATTTCAGCACATGCCTATGGAATGCAGGATGGTCGGGCAGGGGGCCTCCCAGAGATCTGGCAGCTCCAAATGAAAGTTCTGGGGTTCTAGCCTGAGTGGGTCATCCTCGAACACCGCCTCTGATTAACACCACGCGCTCTGGTTTTCTTCAGGTTTTTAACAACCATTTTGTTCAAGTAACCATTGACGACCTGCGCCCGGAGGCCAGCCCTGCCTCCATGCTTTGCCACGCGGATTCCTTGGGGATCATGCCAGTCCAGTGGAGCCTTAAAAACGGAGTGCATCTCTCCCCTCCCAAAGGTTGGTATTTCCATTTTCAAACGCTTGCTCTTTCCTCCAGTTCTGAGGCTGGTGCAAAATTGATTGAACCCAGAGCTGAAGGCTAGCAGTAGGTTTTGAAAGAGCTGAGAGAGCCATGTATGTATGTATTTATTTATTAGATTTATATCCCACTTTTTCCATACAGCAAACTCAAAGTGGCTTCCATCATTCTCCTCCTCCTGCTCTCAGTCTTATCCCCACAAACAACAACCCTGTGAGGTAGGCTGGACTGAGAGTCTGTGACTGGCCCAAGACACCCAGTTGGCTCCATGGCTGAGCGGGGACTGGAACCTGGATCACCCGAGTCCCAGCCCCACATTCTTAACCACCACACCATGTTTTCTATGGTGTGCAGAATGCACTTCTTTTTCTGCGTTAAGGCGCGCAGAATTGCAGGCCAGATCTAGCCTTCCTGAGGTTCTAATCGGCCTTTCCAGGTTCTGAAGAAGGTTACACCTGCTTCCAAGAAACCCACACCCTTTCCCACCTGCTTGTCACTGGAGAGGGTCCCACCGTTCTGAAAGATGGAGATGTTTCTCCTAAGACTGGTCACTGGCAAGAGGACCGTTAAGCTAAATGAGCATCCATTTTGGGCCCTGTTCTTTTGGCTTCAGTCCTTCCCATTGCTGAAATCCAGCCCCCAAGAGCTCCTTGGAAATAATACTGGGCCTTCATATTGCAAGAAGTTCAACCCCTCCTCCTAATACCATGCAGCATCTCCTGGATTTTGGGGATTTGCTGTAAACAGTTAGCAGAGCTTCCCCTGTGGAGTGGAATGAGATGCAGTCAGGAAACTCCAGTAGCCCAATTAGGATTACTGAGCCCTTGACACCTGTGAAAAAGCTGTTCCTTTCCCATTGCTTCTTCCCCCCTTGTAACACGAGAGTCCGCAGTCCAGGGTGAAGTCAGGGTTGAGTGTGTGCTATCATTGAATTGTGGGTTGTTGTTGAAACATGGGTTATTGCGTTGTCTGAACCTGCTGAGATAACAAACCATGGTCAGCCACCGACAATTCACAGTCTAGCAGCAAACCATAGGTTCTCAGATTCATAGCCAGGCCTTGTTAGCGCAGCTGAATTCAAATGACACAATAACCCATATTTCAATAACAGCCGTAGCTCAACAACAAGCCACACCCAAGCCCTGCTCAGCCCTTGAGAACGGGTTATTGTGTTGCTAATAAAGCACTGCTTTGGTATTGGAAGTGGTGATGCTTCTGCAGGTTGGGTCAGCTCGTCAGCAGTTCCAGTGCAGCAGTCCTTGGCCTGGTTCCTTCAGGTATTTTGAGCTTCAGCTTCCATCAGCCACAGCCAGCATGGCCAGTGGCCAGGGATTCTGGGAGTGCGGCTCTTGTTGTGAGCCAGGCGGCAGCCACACACCGTCCACCGACTGTCCGAGGTGTTTGGCCACCAACAGAAAGATGAATGAGTGGGCCCTACAGCAAATCCAGCCAGAATTTCCCTGAAAGCAAAGTGAATAAAAATGATTCTGTTGTACTTCGGGCACATCAAGAGAAGGCAAGACGCCTGTTAGGAGACAATCGTACTAGGACTACCAAAGGCAGAAGTAAAAGAGGAAGGTGAGATGGATCAGTTCCTTAAGGGAAGCCACAGCCTTGGGTTGACGAGAACTGAGCAGGGTTGTCAAGGACAAGGCATTTGGAGGGCCTTCGTTCTCAGGGTCACCGTACGTCAGGGATGACTTGACTGCACGGAACAAAACCAGCAGCTTTTCAGTGGTCCCGGCAGGAAGGACATCGCTGCAGATTTTCTGTTTTGCAACCTCTGGCATGAACAGAAAGATGCTCAGCTACAGGGACAGCACGGCACGCAGAACCACACGTTCAAATGAAGACATTTCTGTTCAGACGCCAGTATGACATGGTGTCAGTTGGACGCTGCAGCAATCCAAGCTCAGATCGTCACGCTGCTGTGACGCTCACCGAGGGACCCTCACCCGTCGCTACTTTTCAGCCTAATCTAACTCACAGGGGCAGCGGATAAATTTGGAATGGGGAAAGAGCCACGTAACCTTCTTGAGTTCTCAGAAGCAATGGCGTGATCTCAGTGCAGGATATATTCTGCCCTATTACAGCAGCATAGCTTGGCAGAGGAAGGGGATTGGGCTGCGTGATTCGAATGGAATGTCTCCCTTTCACCCCAAGCTTTTCGTAAGGCAGATGAATAGAGGAGAATTAGCACCGACCAAACAGGGAGAAGACGTGTGTCGATTCCCCAGGGACAGAAAGAGCTTTGCGCCGTTTCTGTTTGGTGCCAGCCAGCAAATGAATATCCGTTAGCCGTCACTACACGCAAGCACCAAGCTTGGCACTGTTTATATTTGTAAAGTTAGATGCATAGCCGTCTTTTCCCCTTGAAGCATTAGCAGCGTTTGTTCCACTTGATGAGCCCTTAAGGAGAGAGCGTGTTTGCAGTTGCTCAAACGGTATTGCAGTCTGTAGAGTGTTCAGTTGTGCGCTCCAGCGCACCTTGACGGCGGCAGCTTCTCTAGCGTGTAGATCTGAGATTATGTCTGACAAGCAGAGCTTGCCGGGGTTTTGGGCATGGCTGCCGTTCAGAGATGCCACGTGCTCATGGGTAGAAGTCAGAGCATCAGTGTACTCAAGCTGGATGTGTAAAGCCACATATTTATACACACAATGTACTGTATAATGTATCTGTCCTGGTGTATATAAAGGACTTGCAGTGTTGTTAAAGTTCAGCAACTACCCAGATGAGAAATTACCCAGCAGCCCCATCTCAACCGGAATTAAATAAAGCTCAACCGGAATTAAATAAAGCCTTTCCCTGCAGCTGTTGGACAGCAATTCTCCTATTTCCCATTGACTGGGAATTCTGGGAGTTGCTGTCTCATGGCTAGGAATTATGGGATTGCTGTCCGGATGTGTTGGATAGCAATTCTCCTATTTCCCATTGGCTGGGAATTCTGGGAGTTGCTGTCTCATCGGTTCTGCTGGCTAGGAATTATGGGATTTGGCACCTAGCTGGTCATCCTTGTTTGGAATTATGGGAAGAATTGGCCAGTTGGCTATGCTGGCTGGGAATTTTGGGGATTACCATCTAGATAGCCCTGCTGGCAGGGGAGTTGGCATCAAATTTATGGTATGTATTATATTTTAATTTTTATTTTGTGAGCTGCCCCGAGGCTTCGGCGAATGGGGCGGCATAGAAATGTTTTAATAAATAAATAAAATAAATAAATTCATCTGGAGAACACCAGGTTGGGGAAGGTTGAAATTAAACTTAATTTGAAATTGGGGGTAGAACCAGAAGTGTGGGGTGAATGTGAGAAATCGGTTGCTTTGTTTCAGTTCACTTTTGATCAGGATTTACTGTTTGCCTCTCAATGATCAAACCAGGACTACATTTATGTTGTATATTTGAGAACCACACATGAAAACATATGTGCTTTTGAAAATAGTGTACAAACACACTTTAAGCAATGGGAGAAGGCTATGTGTATTTCAAAGACGTACACAATCTATGCAGACATTTGGAAGAGGATGCACATAAAAATTGCCAAAAAATTAATGCAGAAGGAAAAACCAAAGATTGCACCCGGCATAGACTGAGTTGAAGTGAACTTGAAGGTGAAATTGAGAGAATTCAGCAAGCTTGAGTTTTGCATGAATGAACACCCCTAGGAGAGAAGTCTTGTAACACCCTCAAATTGTTATAAGTTTAAATAACTTTACTTATTTAGAATATTCATATGTTGCTCCATATCTAGACAGATTCCAGAACAGTGCACGGCGGAAAGCTAAAATTGATGGAAGAAGAAGACTATAAACAATTAAAACCATAAGAACATTAAAACATTGCTGGGAAGCAATAAGTCTTCTTGGAGTAACGATGGCACCAAAAACTGCCCAGAGGCAGGGAAGTCCCTAAAATTGGTGCCACCGCACTCACGGCTTTTCCCCGGTGGACTCCAGTTGGATCATGGATCCGTGCTAAGCGTGTGCAAGAGCGGAGCGGGGCCGTCAAGGGCAAGCCTTTTGGAGGGTGCCCACTCATGGGGTCACCATTAATTGGATGACTTGACAGCACGCAACAGCAAGAAAATGTTAAGGGCTTTGGGCATCTTTTGCACCACCTCTGTGTATTGCCGTAGAAACGTCACATGTCGCAATTGTGCTGTTGTCCTTTAGTCGCTGCTCCTAGAAAAACAGCACGTCAGGGGACAATGCAATCTCATGTTGGAGGCTTTACCTATGTGGAAAAGCTGTTTGTTTTGTGAAGCATCTCTAATACAGCACCCTTCCCTTGCCAATGGCCAGACTGGCTGGGGAAGATGGAATTTACAGTCCCAACACGTTTGGAAGCTGTTAGGTGGCAGAAATTTGCTTTGGAAAGAGAGGTAACGGCTTGGCTTTTCTGGGTTTCCTCTGCAGGTTATTCCGGCCAAGATTTTGACTGGGCAGATTACCAGAAGCGCTGCGGGGCAGAAGCAGCTCCCCAGTTCTGCTTCAGAAATGTAAGCCCCCTTTTTCCTCTTCTGCTGTCATGTCCTTTGATGTGTTGGCCTTGCCGGCTCCACGATGGCAGCACATGGCAGTTTTACTTCCCTTCTCAGCCCCAGAGACCTGGCGCTGCTCTCACGCTGCAGAAGGGATGTGTGATGCAAATATATTTATAGATATCATCGTGCCTGCACCAGCCCCATCTGTGCATTTGAGTCTCTGCATGGGGAAGAGGTGTGCAGAGGCAAAACCGCCCAGGGAGAGAGCAGCCAAACGAACCAGATCATTTATTTCTGCCAGCTTAGGATGCTGCCTTAAGGCCTCATTGAACACACTCCTCCTCCTGCCTAGAGGCACGTTTTCCTTACTCTCCTGCAAGGACTTGCAGCCCCAATTCAGATCAGGACCGTAGTGCTTTAAGAGGGGAGCCTTTATCGTCCCAGAATCATGGAACGGGCGAGTTGGAAGGGGCCAAGAAGGCCATCAGGTCCAGCCCCCTCCTCGGTGCAGGACTCCAAGTTCAAGCATCCCTGGCAGGTGGCTGTCCAGCTCCCTCTTGAATGCCTCCAATTCAGTAGAGCCCACGAGTTTAAGTGTAAGTTTCCCCACCAACATTTCATTTCAGAATTGAAATCAAAGGAAGCTGCCCCTGCTATTTAAACCCCCATGCGGAGAGTGGAATTTCTGGAGCAAACAGGACCAGTGGGAAGCATAAATTTTCCTTTCCTGGAGTAACACTGTACTGAATCGGGGCTTGACAGAGTGAAGGGAAGACGCTCATGTATCCCATTTCTTACACATCTGCTTTTTCTCTTAAATAATCCCATTATAGTGTTTCATGAAGCCACTTTGGCTCTTTCAGATGCAGCTGTTCATTCTTTCCTGCTAGAACTGTTTATAATTGGACTCTCACACCTGCAGGGCTCTTTCCCCCTGAGCTGTTCTAGCTACAGAGTCCCACACAGACCGTCCCTGAACTGATAAAAATCATCCTGAACTCCAGCCATGGGATGGGTGCACACAACTGGAATGCATTGCATGGAGGCTCCCGACTGGCTCTGGAAAGCATTGCAGAATTGCACGGAAGACCAGTTCCAGAATTACACAGTCCCTTCTCACCTATTTCCCCATTATTGCAACTCCTTGCGCACATACGCACACCTGTAACCTGCATACACATTTGTTGTTGCTGGTCGCGAAGTCGCGTCCGACCCATCGTGACCCCATGGACAACATCCCTCCAGGCCTTCCTGTCCTTTACCATCTCCCGGAGTCCACTCAAGCTCACGCCGACTGCTTCAGTGACTCCATCCAGCCACCTCATCCTCTGCCGTTCCCTCCTTCTTTTGCCATCAATCTTTCCCAGCATCAGGCTCTTCTCCAGGGAGTCCTTCCTTCTCATTAGGTGGCCAAAGTATTTGAGTTTCATCTTCAGGATCTGGCCTTCTAAAGAGCAGTCGGGGTTGATCTCCTCTAGGACTGACCGGTTTGATTGCTTTGCGGTCCAAGGGACTTGCAGGTATCTCCTCCAGCACCACAATTCAAGGGCCTCGATCCTTCGGTGCTCAGCCTTCCTTATGGTCCAGCTTTCACAGCCATACATTGCAACTGGGAAAATCATAGCCTTGACTATACGCACTTTTGTTGGCAGGGTGATGTCTCTGCTTTTTAGTATGCTGTCCTCCAATCTCTCCCCAAGCCTGCTCAAATTCATGTTCATTGCTTCACTGGCACTCTCCAACCATCTCATCCTCTGCCGTCCCCTTCTCCTTTTCCCGTCAATTGTTCCCAACATCAGGGTATTTTCCAAAGGTCCTTCCTTCTCATTAAGTGGCCAAAGTATTTGAGTTTCACCTTCAGTGTCTGCCCTTCTAAAGGCCAGTCAGGGTTGATCTCCTCTAGGACTGACCGGTTTGATCGCCTTGCAGTCCAAGGGACTCGCAGGAGTCTCCTCCAGCGTACACATTACCTGTGTGCATAAGGGGACACTACTTGGTGTCAGTGTATACGCAGCCCTTTCTCAAAGTCGCATCTTTGTTCTGGGGCATTTGGCGTAAGTGCTTGCTCCGTGCCCCTTCCTGAAATGTTGGGAGCTGAAAGAAATGCATTTGCCTCCCGTCTTTGCTCTACCATTCTCCCTCCCAGATGTGCCCCTAGTTTCGGTTTTAAGCTCCTCGAAGTGGGACCTTTTCTCTTATAAGAGAAACAGAGAAAGCACCAGAGAAGATGAGCATTTCATTGCTCGTTCTGACAGTGCAGTGAATGCAAAAGCCTCCATCTCTGAAGGTTTGCCGCCTCCTTCCACCCACCTTCCATTTTAATTTCTGTTTTGTATTTAGCCAAAAGTTGGCTCTGGATTGGCACAGGTCCAGTCTCTGCAGTCCTCTCATTAGACAGCGTGAGCTCCTTTCTTTGTTGGCGTTATGTCCCTGCCCCTCTCCTCTTGCAAAGAGCCCGAGGCAGCTTGCGCAATCCCCTTTCTTTTCATTTTATCCTCACAACAACCCTGTGAGGTAGACTGGGCTGAGAGCGGGTGACTGGTCCAGGGTTACCCAGTGAGCTTTATGTCCAAGTGGGTCCCCAGGCCAGCCCTCTCTCCGCTGCACCATATGGGTGCTCATCACCCATCCCCAGCTTAGCCTGTATGACAATGAACGTCATTAGAAAGCTGAAACTGCTACATAAACAAAATGGAACATTGTCTGTACAAGGGAAAGCGCAAAACTCAGGCCGGGGACTGTGCAGAGTTTCACAGCTGGCCTCTTTCAGGTGTCCTTCAGCCGAGGCTTTATGAAAAATATGAAACTGGAGGCTGTGAACCCCAAGAACCCTGCTGAAATCTGCGTGGCTTCCATCTCCACCGTAAAAGGCCGGTTGATGTGGCTGCACTTTGAAGGTAAGAGACGGCCATGTGCTGCTCGGCAGTGAGCTTGCCCTTTGGTGGAGCGCTCACGTGCTCCTGGTCAGGGTCCCAGCCCGTGAGCAGTGCCCTGTCTCAGGAAGTTTCATTCCTTGCTCCTGCTGAGACGCAACATTCCACGGCCCCTGAGTGCGCCTGGCCTTCACTGGGCCCTCTGGGGTGGTGTATAAGGATTCCCCCCACCCCCAGATATTTTGTTTGCCTGCAAAACCTGAGCTGCTTTTATCTCCATCTTAGACTTTAGAAGTGTTGCTGCTATTATTATTATTATTATTATTATTATTATTATTATTATTATTATTATTATGCATTTATATTCTGGCTTTTTAACCCAAGGCAGCTTTCATAGCCCTCCTCTACTGCATAGTATCCTCACAACAACAATCCTGCGAGGCAGGCTAGGCAGAGAGGGAGTGATTGGTACAAAGTCACCCTGTGAATTACATGGCCAGCTGAGGCCAAGAACCCAGATCGCCCCAGTTCCCAGTCCAGTGCTTTCACGGTCGCACTTTGGCTGCATGAGAGTGCTGATCTAGACAAACATTCATTGTTTCCATGGAGAATTTCACCCATGTACATGCACACACGTGTGTGTGTGTACAGGTTGCAGCCATAATTCATAAAAGCAACCCAGAGATGCTGTTTTCTGTGTGCAACAAAGTACAAGTTCAAGAAATCGGCCACGGCCACTCAGTTCCTGCCTGGCATCCAGCAATCTTTCATCAAGGGAGCAGGCATGTAAATTGCATTTTCCTGGAGCTCAAACGGCACTCGGAAAAAGCAACTGTTTCCCCACAATTGGTGAGACCACTAGGATTGTCTGCCTCAGTTGTGAGCAGAGCAATTATATAAATCCCCTTTTGTAAGAAGGAAAGAATCATTTTGGTTTCATCTCCCCCAGTGCTTAATGTCAATATCATTGGATATTCACTGTTGGAGCGGGGAGGCGATTCTGCTGCATTCCCGGAATTCCTCTCCTTGGTGGGGGTGGGGGGGTATTAGTTGCCTCTGTGTCCTGCCTTCGTGGCTTCCCAGGTGCATCATGAATGTCTGTTCATAGGTTTACAAGCTCCTGGCCCAGATTACATCGTTGACGTAGAATCAATGGACATATTCCCAGTTGGATGGTGCGAAGCAAACGGTTACGAGCTCTTGGCACCCCCTAAAGCGGTTTGTAAGTACACAAAATTGCAAATTGATATGGCAGTATAAGTCTTTGCTGCGGTGTTTCCATAGTTTAGGTCATAATCAGTGGAAGGAAAGGTCATTCTGTGAAGATTTGGTGACGAGATGGATGGGCACAGTAGCCCTCAGCCTTGCATGGGTCAGTGGACACCTCTGAGGTGTGAGAGGATGCCAGGAGTCAGACCTCACCTGGAATACTGTGTCCACTTCTGGGCACCAAGATCTAAGAAGGATGCAGGTAAATTAGACAGGGTCCAGCGGAGGGCGACAAAAATGATCCAGGGTTTGGAAACACTTCCCTGTGAGGAGAGACTGAGGGAACTGGGCATGTTCAGCCACGAGAAGAGAAGACTGAGGGGGGACATTATATTCCTGTATAATACCTCAAAGTCTGTCACAAAGAGGAAGGCCAAGATCTCTCCTTGCTGACTGCCCAGAAACCTCCCCTGAAGAGGCAAACCCTCTTCTGGAGCTCAGGAATAGCAGATTTCATGACATATGCCAACATGTTCTGGCACATTCTTTGATGTTTTTCGAAGGAATCAGTAAACCTCTCTTTAGTATGAAGCTTCTGGTGACATCTAAAAAGAGCACCAGAATCCTGCATAATAGATTTGGACAGGAAACAAGTATGATTCAGACAATCAAATCTTTGCTTAATAACCAAGACACAAACAAGTCTCTTGTGCAAGCCATTTTGTGTAAGCAGGGAAATAAGCCAAGAAACCACGTTTTACTGTGATGTTTGCTTACATACAAACCTGGAAATCCTGGTTAATGGGTTCCAAGAGGCAAAAGCCTAAAACCAACCTTAAAACATGGTTTAATATTTTATCTTCACTTTCGCTAGAACACCCAAGTATAGAAAGTTGGAGGTGGGGATTATATTCAGTCCTAAAGTGAGGCGCTTGCTCTGAAAGGCCAAGGAATGTTAAAAGAACAAGACAAAACATCTCTCTGCTTACAAATAACATCTGCAAGACAGAATTGAAATGTGTGGGTCAGGAACGTTATTGCATTCCATTTTGGTTTTAAGAGGAAAATATGTTTAATGTTCAGATCAAGGACCCATGCCTAATATGGGTCAAATCAAGGACCCGTGCCTCTCTAATAGGGGAGAATAACAGCAGGGGCAAAATCGTGCAGACTTGGTTATTATTAATGCACTGAACAGGAAACGGTGCCAGGACAAGCAGGGTTGCCCAGTCCGATCACATATTACGTTCTTTTGAATGCAGGAATACTTTAGTATATTTTTAAAGTGGTGCTTTAGTATATTTTTAAAGTACAGATCCCATGAAAGCAAGAGGAACCAAAACAGGAAGTGTGCCGTTAGATTGTTGAGCACACTGTTTTAATGAAACAGTAGCGCAACGGCGCATGCAGATGTAGTGTAACAGCAGTTTGCACGCCAGACAGAATACAGGCCGGCAACTCCAGCCTGCCTCAGCCCAACGGCTAAGAATGTACTGAAAAGCATGTGATTTATGCAAATCAGTGTCCAAGGGGCATGGTGTCCTCACACGCTGTATGTCAACCGTGCAAGAACTGCTTGCGCAAATTTCCTTAGGGTCGTTCAAGATGGTGGTGCACAGAAGAATACGAGATTTGGTCCCCTGTTGGATCAGAAACAGATGGGAAGTTCACTTAGCTCAAATGCACTGGATTTCTGAGCATCATCTTCTAACAGATCCTTTTAATACCTGTCCCCACGCACACACACCATCTGACACCTGTAAAATGGAGTGACATGTTTTTTGACATTTTATGACAACTTTATCTTCTGTATGCACACACCTTGACCCTGAGTTTCAAAGAACAAGCACAAGTTCTTTATCTGCTTGTAGAGTGTGGGAAGGGCTCTCATTTCTCTTGCAGTTTGGAAGTTCCCACCCAACACAGGGAATTGCATCTGCAAGAGGTTTACAAGCTCACATTACTAAAAATTATGCTGTCCTCACTCCTCTTTTGCAGTACGAAGGAAGAGAAGGATTGCAGTTGTGCAACCCGAAAAGCAGTAAGTAGGCACTTAACATGAAAATAAAGAAATGGGCACTCCGGGAGGGCATAAAGCAGCGGATCCAAAAGGACTGGTGTTTTGCAGCTTACTGAGTTGTGTGTATACAGACTCTGCCTTAGAACTATTTATATGCATGGACAAAATGTGCAGCATTAAACTTGCTGCACATTCACCTGTTTCACCTGTTGATCAAGCACACCGATGCTGAAGAGGGATCCTCTTGCTGGAACTGCAGCCTGAGCCTGTGAAATTAGGGACCGTCGCAGCCCATTCATCCCAGGCCACAGGGCTGCTTCTTTCTGCAGGCTCCACCCTGCTCCCGGCTGAGCTGACTGTGTATTTTGCCCATCCTACGCATGATCATATGGAAAGATCTTCTCCAGGGTCACATGAGTATGTCGTGACTAGTCCAGTGCTAGACTCACACCAGGGAGACCTGAGTTCAAATCACAACTCGGGGCTAAAGCAGGCTTTGCATGAAATGTTATTTTTTATTTATTTTATTTATTAAAACATTTCTATGTTAGGAATCCAGACTGGGGTTCCAGCAAGGACGAGGACCACAGCAGGTGGTAAAGTGAGGGTTAAACCCCGCTGCTCAGTGGCTTTCTCACCCTGGCATTTCCCCCCAAAGCTCTTTGGAGGATAATATTAAAATTAGTAAGTGGAATCTGCAGGGAACGATTGCTGCACGCATGCTCTGCATTGGGTATGTTGCAGGGGGTTTCTACATCCCCGCACAGGTGCCCACACTTACTTACTTACTTACTTACTTACTTACTTACTTACTTATTTATTTATCTATTAAAACATTTCTCTGCCGCTCCTTGCCGAAGCCTCGGGGTGGCTCACAACACAAAATAAAATACAATAAAATACAAAAATAACAATATAAAATTAACAATATAAAATAAATAGCAATATAAAATTAAAAATAATATAAAATTATTCCTGCTTCTGTGGCACAGCCCTTTTCTCCAGCCTACTGAAACCCTTCCCTTGTGCTTTGGAAGCATGGGGGGGCGGGGTGCTGCTTTTGTTCCAGAAGCAAGGGCTTGCGCAGGCAGAATGGAGACAAAGGCCAATCAGTCCTTCAAGAAAGCACACACTTTCAGCCTTGCATCAAGCGGTGCTGATCACAACACGCTCGACATATCCTTTGGTCACCTAATAGGTTACCGTCCGGCGTGCCTGTCGAGAAAATGCTTCCCGAGCCCTGCGTGATTCCACAGACAGACACCGTGGGTGAGTCTTGGGAAGGGTGGCTGAGCAGGGGCCTGCAAGTGTTTCAGGCCTCAGCGCATGGGCGCATGGGGTGAATCTCTTGGCGCCACGCTCAGCCCGCTGCCAAAGAACTACGCGGGAGGAAGCCCTTGTGATTGGGATGCGGAAGCTCTTCCGGACGGCCGGATTCCGCTTTGGAGAAACTCTCGGAAGCTGCGTTCTAGCACAGGGTGGGAAATACCAGCTTTTTCTAGCTTAAAGCTCTGCCTGTCCTCAAGCCCTAGGAGAGAACCATCAGCCATTTAGATGCAGGAAGAAAATGGGAGCACGTGTTTCTTCCCTGCAGGTACCATCAACGGGAGGTACAGTTGTCCGGCCTTGTTCATCAACCATCGCTGCTTCTCGGGGCCACACCTGAACAAGGGAAGGCTGGCTGAGCTACCTCAGTCCGTCGGTCCAGGGAAGTGCGTGCTGGTTCTGAAAGAGGTGAGGATCATGTGGCGTGGGGGACCCTTCCCAGTAGTTTCTCTGATCTGTGCTAATCGATCCACTGGGATGGAGCAGGGGAAGCTTGCAGAAATAAGACTGGGGATTGGAGAGAAGGTGGGGATCTGTCCCCCTTCTGGGTGGCAGGACTTAGGGAGGGGGAAGAGACCGAGATCCAGGATTGCAAAAGCTCCTGCAAATCCTTGCAAAGCCAGGGTCCGTTGTTCCTCTTACACTGCAGCATTGATGTCAAATGGGGGAGATCAAGAGCGTTCCCTGGGTATTCCGGGAGAGGCTTCAGGCTGGTCCCAATCCCCAGAAACACCCCAAGGAGAGCAGGGAGAGATTTCCACAGTCTTGGAGCTCCCCACTGATGCCAGTGGGGAGGAAACCACTTGAGGAAAAATTTGAAAAGCAAAAAATGGAAGGAAGGAAAGACACACCAACTTGCTCAGGGTGCTGTTAAAGAGACTGCAGTCCCTCTGCTTCTCTTGTCTTTCGACAGGTCCTCAGCTTGGTGATCAACTCTGCATACAAGCCCGGGAGCGTTTTGCGGGAGCTGCAGCTTGTGGAGGATCCCAGGTGGAATTTCCAAGAGGAGACCCTGAAAGCAAAGTAAGGCTGGCTGTCGTCGGCGCATTCGAGAAAACAAATCCCTCGTTTGCCATTTGAGAGTAGCACCTGCTCTGTCCTGCTGGGAGGAACATGGTACTGCATGAAAACGGGGGCTGATTCCCCTTTAAATTCACTTTGCAGGTTTCTCACTCCTGAAGGGGTGGGAGCCTCTTTGGGCCAAACTCCCTTTTGGAGAAGCCCTCGGGGCTCATCCCAGGGCTGGGCAGGGGCAAACCCAACAGGAGGCCAAAGGCAGAAGGAGAGAACAGCCTGTCTTAGCTTAAACCTCTTGCTACCCATGGTAAAGGCTTGGAAAGGGTATTTTTGAATGAGGAAAATCTCCCCCAGAGCCGGAAATGCAACCCTGGCATTTGCAGTAAGAATGGCCCTGTACATCTGGCCACAAGCCCAGGTGTGGAACATCTGGCCACTTCTGCACTGCAGGCTGTGCCACGTTTGCAGAAGCATGGCAAGAAAAAGAGGCCCAAACTTTTTAACTCCTGCCTCTCCCCCTGTAGAAACCTCCCCCATTGCACTTTCCCTTCACCCAACCTGTAAAAGTGCAGCTGGGAACCCTAATTTGAAGCAGCCGCAGCTGAAGGGCTGAAGCAAAAGCAGCAAACAGGTGAAGGCTTCAGCTTCGGGCTGCACAGCTGGAGAACAGCTGGTCTGGGTATTTCCTCTGTTCTGTAAGCAGGAAGTACCCAATGCAACTCAGGAACTTTTGGACAGAGGACAAATCTTTTCACCATCTGCATATATTGTACATAATGTGGCAGACCGCATGCCTTTTCTTTTTACCTTGTATAATTTAATCCATGTATAACGACCCAGGGTCCTCTTGGGCTCTGCAGCCATGAGGTCTAGGAACTTGCTTTTCTTAAAAAAATGTAAATGGTCATTATATCTTTTTTCTGCCTTTCTGAAATTCCACATTAGGTGCAGTGCCTGTAAGATGCACACAGAATAAGAAGGCAAGCCTGCTTATAAATCCTTGGTTGAGAACCAGTCTCTGCATTGTTCTTGAATATTTATGCTTGTTTTCCTTCAATAATAATAATAATGTTCTCTTATGCAGGCCAGATCTTTGGTCTCTGCCCCTTTAACTTTAGTTGTATTACATTTAATTAGAAGAGCTGAGTGGATTTTACAGACAGAATCTTTAATACTACAATAGTTGCAAAGCCCAGTGAACTTTAAAGCTATGCAGCATGCCCAGCTAATAGCTTCTGATGTAAATAATAATAATAATAATAATAATAATAATAATAATAATAATAATACATGGCTGGCAAAATAAAAGTCTCATTGGAGCAATGATTATGCTATTAATAATATGCTTACCTAGGCTGACATCTTCGAGTCCAGTGCTTTCTTTATTCGGCATCTACCCCATGGGCATGCTGAAAAATTCTTTGCTTTCTTTTATTTAATACAGGCTACTTTCCTGGATTCCTTAGAGGCTTGTCCACATTATTTTAAAGAGAAGCTTGAGTAATGTTTGACAAAGAGGAGGCACCCAAGCTCAGTGGGGGAGACAGATTTAGCGTTCCATTATAAATGTCAGATGGGAAAGATTCCCACCTTTCCAGAACCCTGGAAATGCTCAGGGCTGACCTTTCTGGGCTCAACAGTGATCTAGAAATGGGGCACTTTTGACTGGCAAATTGGTGGACGGCTTTGTCCATTTCGCTTTTGCACACATTTAAACTTTTAAAAACCTATTTCCATCCCATGTTATGGGGAATTTTGTAGATTTTGGCTTCCAAACATGAGCCAAATGAAATCTGCAGGATGATTGAGATCTGTGAGGTACCTGCTACCCATCTAGTTTTTAAAGGTGAGGAGCAAGTCAAAAGAAAGAGGTGGCAACGCTTTATTCAGACCCAGGCTTTAAGGGCTGGACACTCTGCCCGGATGACTGCAGCTTGCATTCCCATTCTGCTCTGAATGATTTGGACTACAACTCCCATTAGCCCCAGCCAGCACAACCAGTGGTAAGGGCTTATGGGAGCTGTGGTTGAAAACCTCTGGAGGACATCAGGCAGGAGAAGGTTGAAGGTTGGTGTACAGGATTGCAGCCTGGAAGACAGGGAGTTCACAAACCCCAAAAGGTAGGGTAGGAAAGGGCGATGTTCCATGGACCAGGAAGATGGGCCCTGATGTGTCATTAATTTTGGAACTCACTGGCCGCTAGCTGGGACTGCTTTAAAAAAGGATGACAACTCCCGAAAGAGGAGGAAGAGGAGAGATCGGTGAGGACATGTTGCCGCAGAAAGGCCTGAAGATGTAACCTACATCTTTCTGGATCCAACACAAGGATCTGGCTTTAACCTATAGGGCCTATTTATTTGTTTATTTAGAGCTTTTCTATACCGTCCTCTTACCAAGAGTCTCAGGACGGTCTTACAATCAAAGACAGTGACGCACAGCATCACCTATAAAATCCCAATTCAAAGGACAATTTAAACCTTAAAACGCTGGGAAAATTAGAAAGGTTTTATGACTCTGGACTGGAAAACATGACTGAGTGGTGCTTTTCCGCGTAGGAACCTGTGTCTGCCCAACCAGCCACGTCTGAACGCCTCCTCTGAGTGTCTCCTTAGAGAGAGGTTTGGAGGAAGGCAACAAGTAACAGGGCATTTTCGGTAGTAGCCCCTGACTTGGGAATGCTGTCCTTGAGAAAACGCATCTGGCATCAATGCTGTTACTTTGTCAGCACCAAGTTGAGACTTTCCTCTACTTCCAGGCCTTTGATGGGATCTGACAGGATTTCTCATGCAGTAGTTGAAATGTTTGGTTGTCACTGACAAGTTGTTTATGGGGTTGTGATATTATGCTCTTTATATGTATATCCTACTTATTCCCAGTGTTGGGACTCCAGGCAGCTCACAACATTTTTAGCTGTTTGGAATCCTTTGTATTTCTTTGTAGCAGGTTCAGCAGGACCCCCCATATCTGTGGGGAATAGGTTCCAAGCCCCCCAGAGGATGCCAGAAACCGCAGATAGTAGCAAACACTGCATTTGTGGGAGTTGGGGGTACAGGACCCCCACAAAAGTGGAAAAAACACAAATAACTCTAGAGAAAAAATATGAATATCTCTAGGGAACTACGCATTCTGTGTCTCGGCCCTAGCCAGCTTTGCTCATGTGTTTTGTCTCTCAGTGGCCACGAAGACTCTAGTTTTTCATGTTTTTCATGATTCATGTTTTTTCACTAGAGATATTTCTAGTTTTTTGTAGAGATCCTACACTTCTGTCCCCTGAGAATGTGGAGTGCCAGTGGTCAACATCAGTTTCATGAAATGCAACAGCAGACACGGGGGTCTCACTGTATATACTGAGAGCCAGAGTGGTGCAGTGGGGAGAAGGCTGGGCTGGGGACCCAGGAGATCCAGGTCCCATCCCCGACTCCACCATGAAGCCCACGGGGTGACTTTGGGCCAGTTGCTCACTCTCAGCCTAGCCTACCTCACAGGGTGGTTGTTGTGAGGGTAAAAATGGAGTGGAGGACAACCTTGTAACTTCCTTGGGCTCTTTGCAAGAGAATAATAACAAGTGTAACAACATCCACAAGCACATAGGTTTTGTGTGTTTCAAACTCATTGTAAGTCATCTTAGGTGTTCCTTTTGAAGGAGGAGTTGGAGATCCTGGGAAGAAATAAAAATAATCATTTTTGAACTTCCTACACAATGGAGTAATTTTTACCTTGTGACCTGTCATAACAGATACCGAGGGAAAACCTATAGGGCGACGGTCAAGATTGTCCGTACATCCGACCAAGTTCTGGATTTCTGCCGCCGGGTTTGTGCCAAGCTGGAATGCTGTCCGAACTTATTCAGCCCTGTCCCAGTTACTGAGGCCTGTCCCGAAAACTGTTCCGTTCACACCAAAACCAAATATAGTAAGTATGAGTGAAAACGGGGTGTCAGGTCACCGTGCTGGCATCGGGATGGTGGCTGTTGACCGCACAGGACCCCTGGGACCGATCCACGTTTCTTGGGCTCAGGATGAGCACTGATGAGGCCCCTTTCCCGGAAAGCACTTGGTTGCGAACAAGTAGCCACCGCCTCCAAGAAAAGGGTCCATGTGGATGTTGCCCCCAACCCCTCCGTCCAGAATGCAGCCATTGCGGGGTGGCGAGGAACTCCGAGGTCTCTAGTCCACAGTCCTGCTCAGTCCAGGCTGTGCGTTGCAGCATGAAGCTGGAGTGCCCTTGAGGGATGGCCATCCGTCCGCCATTGAAATGCCTCCAGTGAGGGACAGCCGTTTCCCTGCAGAGGCAGTCTCTTCCACCATTGTACAGTTCCCACTATTACAAAGTTTCGTCTGCTTTTGGCCAAAGTCTGCTTCCTTGCCATTTCCACCACCTGGTTCTAGACCTGCCCTCTGGAGTAACCAAGAACACATCCTCCATCTTCTGTACAATGGCCTATCCGACAGCTCGTGACTGCTATCATATCAGCCCTTGATCTTCTCTTCTGCAGACTAAACATACCTCATTCTTCCTAATGTCCCTCCTAGTCGCTGAGTCAGCAGCTGAGCAAGCTACGTGGTACCCCATCCATTTGATTTTCTCCACCAGTCAGCTGCTTGGTGCTGAATAGCTGTTCACCAATCAGCTTTGGGGAGCTGGCGAGAGAAACATGATGGTTTTTCAGTGCTTTCGCAGCGCTGCCAGCCCACTGCTCTTGCCCAGGCCGATGCTCCAGCTTTGGTTGGTTCATTGCTAATCCGGCATTTCCCTGCTCCCATTTTATTCCAGCTTATTATTATGGAAAGCGGAGAAAAGTCATGAAGCCTTCACCTGGCGAAAACAGCAGCCGCAGCCTGCAGAGCAGAGCCAGCCAGCCAGCCAGGTGCAAGAAGAGACGAAAACCCATTTTGGTGCAAAAGAAAAGACGGTCCTCTCTAATGGATCGGGGCCCGGCTGGATCTGCAGAGGTGATGGTTAGATCCCCAACTGTTGCTCCAGGGGGATCTCAGATGCAGTGAAACAAGATTTCTAGAGATCTGAGTCCACAGAGTAGAGCAGACCATTTCAGAAAGCAGCTGGGACTAGATTTTTCACGCTTCCATCTGTGCTCCTCTAAAGTGAGACCTTGCACACATCTGAGATGGCTGGACATTGGAGGAGACAGACCCCAATTCTCTCTCTCAACAAGCCCACAAAAATGTTCACTCATTATTCTGACAGTTAGTTTATATCAGGATGGGCAGAAAGTAGATCTTCAGGTGTTTTGGACTTCAGCTTCCAGCATTCCTGACCATAGGTTGACCCTCTGGGAGTTGACCTCCAAAACATGGGGAGGAGGTCCAGCTTCATTCCACTCTTTCCTAACTTACTCCGTTTATTCTTCCAAAGACGGATAAATTCGCCTGAGCACCCGCCCACCCAGCTGCCATAATCCGCTTCATGTCGCTTCATGTTTTCCTTCCTTCTCAATGCAGGAGAGTGATGAGGAAGAGGCGGAGGGCTTGGATGATGAGACGGGGAGCGAAGAGACCAGCCCAGAGCTGCACGATGACCAGGCAGACCTCCCTTCTGCAGGGCTGCCTCTGGCCAAGGGTTCAAGTACAATGAAGTTGCGCAGCAGCACGGATCTAGACCACGTGGCTCACGCCAAGAGGGGAAGCAGAGCTCGGAAGGCATTGTCCATGGTACGCGCCGAAGGAGAGAAAAGGGCTCCACTCAAGCAGGTGAGGGTTTGCAGTGCTCCCCGTGGTCCCAATGCCCTCCGGCTGCTTCCGGAGAGTTCCCCCCCTCCCAAAAAAACAAAAAACAAAAGATCCGTGCTGGGAATTATACATCCAAGAGCCACAGATTCTTCACCTGGAGATAGTTGAATTCAGCAACTTTCATAATTTCTGAAGCATGAGTATGGATGTGTGTATTTTGCATGTTTTTTTTCCACTTGTCACAGGGGATTTCTCTCTTAAGCACAGAAGTCCTTGGTGGACGTATTCAGAGGTGTTGACAACACGTCACCAGCATAGTTTAGCTTAAGGCTCTTACTGCCTGTAAGCTTAGGCAGGGCATTTCGACTCAGGATGTGACCGTTCTCCCAAAATGCATCTGTCTTGCACTTCTTTCCTGTGCTCAGCCCTGACTTAGGAAGTGAGCCAGACTGAAATTTATTTATTTATTTGTTTGTTTATTTGGAGAACTTACATGCCGCCCCATTCGCATAAGCCTTGGGGCGGCTTCCAAACCATAAATAAATACAATCGATACCATACATAAAATATTGGAGACATCCTGGCAAAAAATTATTAAAATCAATAAATAAAATCAACAGTTAAAATAACGTTTAAATAAAAAGGTCTTGGCCTGGCGCCGAAAAGCAAATAACGACGGCGCCAGGCAGACCTCTCTGGGGAGCGCATTCCATAGGTGGGGCGCCACCACAGAGAAGGCCCTCCTCCAGGTACTCTGCCTCCTAATATCCTTCACGGAGGGCTCCCGGAGGAGGGCCTCTGCCGCCGATCTCAAGGGGTGGGAGGGCATATATGGACACAGGCGCTCCTTTAGGTAACCAAGTCCACGAAGGCTCACAAAAGCTGACAGACCCCTTTGCTGCAGGAGAACTCTGTTTGTATGACAGGCATGTGGGAAGCATGTGTGAAGCGGGCCCACCAAACCGGACCTGCTTCCTGCTGGTTCTCCACCTAACCCTTGACTACTCTGGTGCTCTCAGCACCAAGTCCGACTTAGGGCAAAGCGAACACGGTCCAAGTCCAGGAGGCTGAGCTGGAGGAACCTGGCAGATTCCCACTCCCAAACGGGATTCCGGGGACATCACTCCTTTCCCTTTTAGAACGGGAAAGTGGGCTAGGAAACTGCCCAGTGATTGGGAGTTAGGGGAAAGGGAGAAATGGCCACTTTTTACTCCTGATGGGCCAGACTTCACCTACCATCAAAAGGCTCAGCACCCACCTAGTAATAGGATTTTGGTCGAGAAGAATTGTCAAAACAGAAGGTAAGAGTGGTGCTTGGAGCGGGGGGCGGGGGCACTGCCACCACTGCCAAATGATCAACCAACCTGGTTTTTTTGGGGGCGGGTGCAAATCTTCCAGCTTCTCAAATTGCCCGTTCCCTCCGCAGCCCATTTCCCGGTGAAGTTCGTGATGCATCATTATTGTCCCCCAAAGAGGCATCTAAATAAGGAGAATATTCCTTTCAGCCTGTGCAATTTCATGGGCTCTGATGCTCCTACAGTGAGAAAATTCACCACGATGCCTCACTCCCCCAGCGCATGCGTGTGCACCCGTGTCATCGGTTTACGTTTGGGGTTGTGCTAAAATTGCTGTTGCCATGGACGGCAGCTAACGAAACCATTCCTCTAGGCTACTGGGGTCTCAGTGACCCCGATGGGCTGAAAGTTCTCATTTAACAACAATACAGTAACGACCTCACACTGATGAACAGTTAATGTGACAGAATGCAGCACATTCAGAACTGATTTAGTAGCCTTGGGGCTGAGCAAGAAATTGCATGCGTGAGGCATGGAGAGCTTGTGAATGCCCACCGGGGTTGTTATGGGGATGTATCGGATCCCATCCTCGCCCCATGCCATCCCTGCATAATTTGATATTCCCATATGATCAACAATAAACCGTGATATAATGTCATCTGTTTATGTTGCGCTGGAATCATTGTCAAACAGATTTCATTGTTCCATGAAAACGATGACACAGTTATGCAGGCAGTAATTGTTGAAATATTGTTGAAGAGCAATTAGAGCGATTTTCGCCCTGAGCAATCCAGTTGTTTTGGCTTTTCGATTCTGTAGGAAATGGAAAAGCCAATGAATGCTAGCTCTGATTCCTGCTTGTAGCAGCTTCCTTGGTCTGTGCAAATCAAAGAGTCAGTAAAATTGACTGGACATATCTCCTTGTGCCTGAGGAGACAACCATGAATGGAGGGATACTGCCAAGCCGTGTGTGTGTGTGTGTGTGTGTGTGTGTGTGTGTGTGTAGGGGGCAGGGGCTGATTCACACAACATGACAGCCGTGAGGGTATTTTACCATTGTTGGTCTGGTGTGAACCCAGTCGAGGTATTGCACCAAGGTAAGTTGGGTCTTTAGAAACCATGATAAGAAACTGGTTTTTCTGTGGTTTTACTGTACCATCGTGGCTTGCCTTGTCCGAATGTGGCATCATTTTTTCTATGGTCACGGTATGCAACTACCATAGAGTGCGCTGGAAAGAGTGGCAACTACAGGAGCTGCTCTGGCTATCCAGTCTTTGGGTGTGGACCAGAGAGGAAGAGGCAGACGACAGAAAAGGAATGATGTGCCTTGGGATTGAATGTTGGGCACAGTGGCTGATGGGATATGTGCCAACAGTCAGAGGCCTGTTGGCTATTATGTCTGGATAATCTTTGTTCTAACTTGTCCAATTACTGTGCATCTCTGGACGGCTTACAATAAATCACCCAAGAAATACACCATAATAAATACATCAAACTAACCAGAACCAAAATACATCAGAATAGGTTAGGTGAGTCATAAAATCCCTGCCAGTTCAGTAATTTCCCGTCTTCCCCTGCAGGAGGCAAAGCAAGAGCCAGAAGGAAAACTGATTCTGGAGAGCAACCCCTTGGAATGGACGGTGAACGACGTGGTTCGGTTCATCAGGCTCACGGATTGCGCTCCGCTTGCCAAAATCTTTCAGGAGCAGGTACCACTGGCCTGCTTTGCAGTCTCTCCCCTGCCTGAACGACCCGAACAGTTACAGCAGGAGAACCGTGGCAGCTGCCACAACTCAGTTTATAGTGCAATGTAACAATAATGATACGGAAACCGAATTGGGACAAGAAGAATAAATTTTAGGGCAGGAGAATCACACTTTTAACGTCAAGCTGGGAAGGCATGTCTAGCTGTCTTGGGTTCGCATTCCAGCTCTTTGGGCTTTTCCATCCCCAGCCATGGATGGTTTGGCTTCCTGCTTTTTGGGGAGTGGCGGGGGGGGTCCTCCTCCCATGTAAAAGTTGAGATGCTGCTCCTAACGCCAGTGGCAGCAAGACCGTGAATGCTGCGTGTGAATGTTGAGTATTCTAATCCGCATTCTAGAGCAGGGCTTCATAAGCTCAGAGCTAAGGCTAGAGCCAGCCTGTCTAGTCTCCCAGCCTGGCTCTGCAGCGGCTCTCCAGATGCCTTGCCGCCTGCCCTGCATCCCTCTTCTCCTTTTGCAGCTTTCCCTCATTATAAGCAGCTTAGTTACTGGCAGAAAGAGCTTCAACCTAAAGCAGGCGGTCTTGTGGCCCCTCCCCTTTGCCGTGAGCCCCCCGCCCTCAACTGGACAGAGGCTCTTGGGAGCCGCTTTGACACTGGATCCAGCCCTTGGGCGGAAGGGCTTCCACACCCCCATTCTCCCCTCTGCTGGACAGCTCCACCCGGCTAGTGGTGGGCAAGAATTCTGTTTGGGTTGGAGATTGGAGAATGTTCCTGATATTTGCAAATTTTTCCCTAAAGAGGGAAGCAAAAGCACCCCCCAGACAATTTCTACCTCTCCTATGTTTCAGCTCTAGAGCCATGCATTTTGTTTTGTATTTCAGTGGTTTTTGTATTTATTTACTGTAAGATGCCCATGAGACTAGCCCCTCCCTCCTCGAGCCCTCCCCCCGCCTTTCCTATGGAATGCCCATGCTTCGTACACGACCCCAAAGAAGGGGGGTTCCCACGGACATGATGACCTGGTACAAAATGCGAACACACCTGCAGTGTTTGGCTAGATGTCATATGGAGCATCACCCCCTGCTCCCATCCCGCAGAAGAAGTTCTTCTTCAAGCTGGAATTTATTTATTTATTTATTTATTTAAAATATTTCTATGCTGTCCTATTTGCAAAAAAGCCTCAGGACGGCTTACAATATAAAATACAACATAAATAAATTCCCGACCCACACTGGCTGCAGTTAAAAACAGAAACGACAATATTAAAACTTATTAAAATATCGCTGGAATAAAAAGGTCTTGGCCTGGTGCCGAAAAACAAATAACGACGGCGCCAGGCGGACCTCTCTGGGGAGTGCATTCCACAGATTGGGTGCCACCGCAGAGAAGGCCCTCCTCCGGGTACTTTGCCTCCTGATGTCTCTCCCGGAGGGCTCCCGGAGGAGGGCCTCTGCTGCCGATCTCAAGGGGCGGGAGGGCAAATATGGAAGAAGGCGTTCCTTCAGGTATCCAGGTCCCAAGCCGGAATGTAATGTAAAGTTTTTGTAGCTGGAATCAGCTAGTTTTCAGTCAGACCCGAAAAGAGGGGCGGAGCGCCACTGCTTTGGGGTTCTATTCCAGCTCCCCAGGTCTCCCCACATGGGCATGACCCTGCCACATTCCCCCAGCCACCAATACTTTGGTGGTTTCCCATCTTTTTGTGGCATCCACCCACTGGGAAAGGCGGAAATGACTCTCCTAAGGCTTTGTTAGCAGCAGCACAAATTTTGATCCAGAATGTGCTGGCATCTTGAGTATTTTAAAGCCCTGCCCTTCCATCCTGGGCTGAGCCCCCTGTGCCTTTAGCCTGCCAACCGGTAGAATGCAGCCCCTGCCATCTGAGACTGCTGCAAGGGACGGCATATAAATGTTTAAATTAAAATTAAATGTTCTGAGGCTTAGGTTCTACACCTCTGCTCGGAAATGCCATCTTTTCATTGTCATAGCCTGAACGCTGGTCCCTAATTGCAGATCAGACGGAGCAGGTTGCAAAAGGCTCTGAAGGATGCCCCTCCGAGGAATAATGCTTGTCCCCTTTCCTCCCTTCCTCAGGACATCGATGGCCAAGCTCTCCTCCTGCTGACCCTTCCAACCGTTCAGGAATGCATGGACCTCAAGCTCGGCCCGGCCATCAAGCTGTGCCACCAGATCGAGCGGGTCAAGCTGGCGTTCTACACACAGTATGCCAAGTGAGACCAGCCTGCCCCTCCACACTCGCCCCTCTCCCTGACGTTCGACGGTTGCATCGGGATTTCTTCTCCGCAGACCGCTCTTCCTTCAGAAGGACCGATACTGCTGGCTTGTGAGAGGCCGAGCAGAGTGGGAGTTTTCCCTCTTCTCTCTCGGCGAGATTATTCTCCGGCTTTGTAGAGATCACGGCACAGCAGAATCGAGAAGGATGCTGGGTGCCAGCAGGAGAGGCCGAAACAGCGCAGGTGGAGGGTCCTCCAGCCATGCAAGGAGAGGTGGAGCTGCCTGCCCTCCTGGCCGTTCTGGGCATGCCTAGATCTGGATCCAGATCAAGACGTTTCCCTCTTCCACACACAGATGCCGATGCTTCGGGCGCTGCTTGTGCTACCACAGCTATTTTTTCCTTCAGTTTTGACAACGATTCTGGCATGCCCCATACATTCATTGGGCAATAGGAGCGGGAGGTTGTCCTCCTCCATTCTTCTGTTTGGGGAGTCCCCTGTGACTTCCAGCCGCTGACCCTAGCTCTTCTCCCGGGACAATACAGAACAAATTTGCCGCATTTTCCGCAATTAGGCACCGTGTGGATGCTCCGTTCCCGATTCCTCGCACTCCCATAACCTCATTCTCCTCAGGCTAATAGAACGACTAGTACCACGGAGATCGCGCCCTTTCTGTAAAGACCCTGGTCCACGGATGAGCAGCGGGAAGTGCGAGATGGAATCCAGTCCTTTTGCTGACACCCCATTCCAGACTTTTGGAAGGGGCTGTTTGCTGGGAGAAGTCAACGCCAATCGAGTCAACTTGCATACGCAATTCCCTATCCTATCCTTCGCTAGATCAGGACAATTGACGAAATTCTGCTAGTATTCTGCTGTTTCTCTTTTTAAGGATGGAAGTACCCAGAGGAGACTTCTTTTACATTCCAATAAGAGCTACCTTTTTTTTTTTTTTTTGGTGGGGGCGGGAGGCACATCACAGAAGTTTCCAGCGCTTTTTGGGAAATTAAACTCTAAAGACGGGAATCAGGAGAATGCTGTGAAGTGTTTGCTTTCTGCAGAACAAGGAGCATGTTTCTTCCTTCTGCTGTACAAGATTGTATTCTGTGTATATACATATTTATTATATATATATATATATATATATATATATGATTTCATGTATATAATGGGGGAAATCTATATTCAGAGTATATATTTTAATTTTTATTCAAAAAGAAGCATCAAACTTTTTACTTGAAGAACTGTAAGCCAGATTGCTAATAAAGGTATTCAAAACATATGGGTCTTTTATGATCTCCCTCCTAACCTGCATCTGAACATAATTTTTGTCTGTTGGCTGAAGACCGTGGATACAGATTGGTTAGGCAGTTCTTCTGCACAAGATGCATTGAATGAACTATGGCACAATTCCCAGGCTCAGAAGCCATTTTTCATTAAATCCCAGCACCAAGAGCAAAAAAACAGTCCTGCTTGTGAACGGCCAGGCTGCATCTGGTTAGAAGTGGTATCACCTGGATGTTTTGGACTTCAACTCCCATCAGCCCCAACCAACAGTCCATGTTCAGGTGTACCGAGAGATGTACTCTAAACATACGGAGGTTGGGGGAGGCCGGGTTAAACACTGCAGGCTTCCTGCTGTTGCACTGCTCGTGGTCCTGAGAAAAGCTCCCCAAAGGGGTGATCGTCATGCGTCTTGTGGATGAGATTTCGTTGTTTTGTGGACATGGATTCCATTGTGCTGAGTGGAGCAGTCCTTCCTTTCCTTTATCCTGAATCTCCCACCAATCCTGAGATGTCCCGCTGGGTTCTAGTATTACGAGAGGGGGAGGAAAGGGGCCCCCCTCCACTTTCTGCACCTTCACCACGTCCTTCCCTCCTTGCCTTCTTTGATACTAAACCGATTCAGCTGTAGGGAGCTTTCCTCTCGGGGCTTGTCCAGCCCCTTGATCGTTTCGGTCCCCCCCTTCCTGCATTTTTCCCAACCTTAAAACACTCCTCTTCAAGGTTGGGGACCAGAGCTCTATTCTCATGACGGCAGCCACAACCTTGTCACGGTACACAGCGTGACCGCATCGTAGATTTGTACATTTAAGGCCTCCATGATCTTGGCCGTTTCATTTTCGGTTCCTTTCCTAATTTGGAATCTCTCATTTCCGGCGCAGCAGGTCTACATTTGCATCAAGCCATCCAGCCCAGTCCCTAGGTCCCCTTTTCAATCGCTAGCTAGCCCTGCTTCCTGGTGCTTTTATTTTATTAAGCGGCATGGGTTAATTAAAATACGTGACTATTTTGCCATGTAGCACCTGGACAAACTGGAGGCTCTGCTTGGATGCTGCAAATCTCCCCGCAACACACCCCCCCCCCGAGGAGAAAGCTGATTTCTTAAGGGGCCACTCTTGTTTCTGCTCACGTGCACTTGCAATCTGCTCGCTCACATCCCTGGCTGGACAGGAGGCTGGGAAGTTCAAGAGGAATGAGAAACTAGCCTTCAAGTTGAATCTTCTTTTTTTGCTGGAACGATCTATCCGAGGCTTCGGCGAATGGGGCGGCATAGAAATGTTTTAATAAATAAATAATTATTGCTATGCTCGACCTGCCTCCACCATGAGCTCAGTTCACTCATTTAGATGTTACTGCCCTTGCAGGGTAAGCTCTGAGGTGTCCCAATTTAAGCATGTGAAGCGTGTGACTCCTTTGCAACCAGAACCCCATCGAGATCACTGCTCCGCCCGGTCAGCTCTCTGCTGCAGAAAAACCTCTTGTTCGTAGCAATGGGAGTTCTGTCCCTCATGGTAATTTCTGCTCCGGGATTAGTTGGGATTGTGGCAGAGGAGTTGGAGGAGTCACGCCGGCTTCCCCACTTGCTGTGGTCCTGAGGCAAGATGGAATGTTCCCCACTAAAGCATCACTATTATTTTTTATTTGGTTGCTAAAGCAAAATGACAAAATCGAGGCTGCTGTACGTTGGGCCCATTATAAGAAGGCACAATTCCACAACGGAGGCCACAGCCTTGAGTTGCCAAATGCTGAGCAGGGCTTGTCTAGGACTGAACACTCTGGATGGTTTTCCTTAATAGGGTTGCCATAACAATGGTTGCTAACCATGCCGAGAAAGTAACCTCTGGATTGCACATTCATTTTCTGCTCCCTGTACTCCATCCCGGAGGTTTTGCCGGGCGGCTAGTGACTCAAAAGATGTGGGCTTCAGAGCCGCCAGGACCAATCCTATCCGTGCAACCTCCGTTCAGAATTCCTGCTTTAATATCTGTTTGTTTTCCCCCGTGTATAGTGGTAGGCAGTTTTCCCTTCCCGTACATGAGCGTTCCCCTGAATTCTACATTAGCAACACAACAGAAATTGCAGAAGAACAGCAGTTCCAAGAACGCTAATTGTCTGCTTTTACAAATTTAATTATATGGGAAGCTTTGTGCTCACACGCTGGTGCTAATGGAAGAGAATGAGGGTCGTCGGGGTTTCTTGCTTGTGCTCCCTTGAATTTCACTTTCCAGCACAGATGTTTTTAAATGCTCTTCCCCAGTCTGGTGCCAAACTAATCTTTGCCATACAGCCTGGCCACTGTGCTGTCTGGGGATTGTGGGAGCTGGAGTATACCAGGTCTGGAGGGCACCAGATGAAGGAATTTTCACGGTCTCGCTTCTGAACTGGTCCTCATGGATTTAGGAAATGCTTTGTTGTCGTGTTTTGCATTCCAAGTTACTGTACAGCTGGCATTTAAAGCTCCGGCCAGTGGGCCAAATCCATACCGGAGAATGTGATGAGAAGATCCGAACTCTGCAGAGAAGGTTTTCAGCCTGATTGCCTGTGACGCCATTTCTTGTTCCCCTCTGCCCCAAGTTCTTCTTCCAGAGCATTGCTCCAGGCCTTTCACTGAACACTCTGCAAGTTCTCCCTAGAGGCTGACTGGACTGCTATCAGGTTTTTCACCGACCTGGCTTCCTGGGTGGAAAAGCACTCTGAGCTGGGTCTCCAATGGACACACCCCGCTGCCCTCTCCCCTGCAGCTGGTGCAGAAAGGACCACACTGGCTGCATCTCGGAGGTGGCAAGACAGATGCCAGAGATGGGGTGGGGAAGGGAGGAGACCAGCACCACCAGGAGACTACATGCAAAGTGCCTTGAGGGCAACTCGGCCTCCTTTGCTTGCACTTCAGGTTGCCCAGATCAGCTGTCTGAGTCTTTTGCAGGGCAGGAAAAACATGGAGGCAGCGTTCCCCTTCTCCTTTGCACAGGGTGCTCATAATCCTCTGAGTACAGAGGGTTCTGGTTATCCCTATCGGACTGGACCCTAGCTCACCCTTTGAACTTCAGGCCGAAACTGCCCATCACATGCATGCGTGCACGCGCGCACATACGCACAAACACGCTTTAACCACGTCACAGCCCAACATCAAATTGGATAAAAAATTGGAGGACACACTGAAAGAGACATGCTTGCCCTGAACAGCAACACCCGGAATGCCTCGCTACCCTGAAGGATCTCTTTGCCACCCTGGAGGTGTTCTGTAAAGGAAGAAGATTTGGAAATGACAGTCTTGCCAAGTCTGAATGAATAAAAATGAAAGGCCCTGGTGAAGAATATTGGCTTTATAACAGAGACAGGCCTTCCATTCCCCACATCTCGTTCTTCAGAAGAGAGAAAAAGGGAGAAATAGCTCAATTAAATGAGGAATGGCTCTCAACATCTTTGGATTCCTGCTGAGAAATTTCCTTGTCTTCTTCAACATAATGAAAACTGGGTAATTTTACATCATTATACTTAGAGCAAACTGCCAGAGCATGGAGTTACACTCTCCAAGCCAAAGAAAGTAATTCCTGACAGATGCAAAATTCTCGTTATCATTCCTGGCTTTTTCTTAGTCACACACACAATTACAACAAGATTACAACTATTTGGCAGTGCAATAACCTGTCAGGACTCCCTGCTTATACAGTTGCACTGCTGTGTATTTGTAGCTTGTCTGGCACTCCAGTGATGGAATTACGGAGAATCCTCGTTAATGACAAATAAATGGAGCTGCAGCTGTTAATGCCATATGCTTCGTGTCTGGGAACGAATGCACAAATTGCCGGCACTGTCTGCT